CATTCAGAAATACTAGACTGGAACCGACTTAGTTGACTTTGTCAAGTGTACTATTGGGGTCAAAGTATTAGCCATTCGTGAAAAGTGTGGCAGCTATGCTTGATTATCTAAAACTGACTCCGACCAAGCAAGTGAATAGACTCAGTGTACTGCCAAGCTTCTGTCGATGCATTATACCTGACTTCAGGTCACGAGGTTATTAACAGGTCAACTTCTTGTAGCTGCAAAACTTATCAAATTGGAGGAAAAAGCTAAAAAGCATTTTACACACTGGAGGCCTGAATAGCCGAACCAAATATGCCTACGCACCATGTTGCCCAAGCACTCATTAGTATCGTCATAGACGCATCCGGCTCAACAAATTTATTAGTTATACAACAACGTATAAACGAAATTCAGCAAACTTTTCGAGATGGCTGCAAGACAACATATCGAGCTAAGGAGAAAAAATACCACAGAACTGCTAAATATGTGTTGCGTTGTACGGCACTTTCAACACCCCATGTAAGGTCACAATTTCTCTTTGTTCATCGCCCATAAACCTTATACTTTTCATCTTAACTCGCTTACGGAAAATCACTCTGATCGAGAATCCAGATAACTTGACTACTTCTCGCAGTCCATTTCAGTTATAAAGCAGATTTCTGGGGCAAAAAATCAAGTTGCAGACGTTTTGTCCCATATAGATTCTTTGAACAGTTTCCGAGGGATCGAACTTTTCAAAATTGCCCAGCTTAAAAAACATCGATCTTCAGCATGAGTCATCACCGTTAACTCAAAAATTACGTGTCAAGCAAACGGAATCAGAGATGAAAGCTTTACTTTGCGAAACATTTGCTTAAGAGGACCATGCAATTTTGTCAAAAGATTATCGTTGCAAGGTTTTCAATATATTGCACAGACCAAGTCGTTCAATTGTCTGAGCATTCATCAAGCTCATTGCCTAGCGACTATTGTGGGCTGCTATGTTAAAAAATAAACGGATAAGAACGTTGCTATTCAAGCTTAAAAAATCTACGGTGATCAGTCATAACAACTATCCCTTAGTCCCATTCGTAATCCCTGATTCTTGCTTCGACCACGTCTTTAAAAGAATAGAACAGGCACTCTGGTTTTTCAGCGTTCGCGAACCGTTTCACACAGTGCACAGAGATGGTGCCTACCAAAGAAATTGTTGCTGAAACAATAGCTCACGCTTTTATCAAAGGATGAGTGGCAAACTTTGGATGCCCTCCGGAAACTACCACAAACAGTGAGTGTATGTCCGAGCCATGTCGTTTAGATTGATTGTTGTCGTGTTCACCATTGTTGACCTTCTCTTAGTGTTACACGTCGAGTGTAAATCCTTTGAATAATTGTATGCTCGGCTTCAAATATTGTGTGGTTAGTAACCACGGTCTCACTTTCAGTTGCGACCGTATTATAATAAACCAACTCTCTACTATTTGTCTCGCAGGGAACTCATAATGCATCGAAAGTTGATGTTTGATGCACTACAGATGAAACTCTTTACGGAACGACACTTTAACTTCCAGGATCATTCATCTTTAGTAAATCTGGACTTAAACTCCAATAAAGCAGGCTTACAATCGCGCTGCATTTAGTCAAACATGTTTACACTCAAACTCAGCTGATCTTCCCGTCTAACCCGCCCTTCTATTTACTTCACACGTTTGGGTACGTTGTGATTTATTATGTCAACCTCTCAACGCTGGGTATGAATGACCATATGAAGTTCTTAATCGTGAATTCAAGCGTTGTGTCATCAATAAGAATGGCGCTGAAGACAGCATCGGCAACGATCAGCTAGAAGAAGCCTGCTTGTTTGGTAACCACTTTTCCGTCAACTGAACAGTCTCCGTGATGACGATGCAATCCGTGATAGTCAACGATAATGACGAAAGGTCTCTAATGTCCGATGAGCGGCCGCAAGAACGTGCTCTGGACGAACCGCAAGATTTACAGAACACTTGAATGACTGATGTGTGTTGAAGATTTTCCCAGTCTATTTAATTTTGATTTCGTCTTCATGTTCTGCAGCTAATACGTTGGAATTTTGATATTTCATGCGTCGAAAAGTTCGAAAAATTGTTATTTTAGATGTGGTCATGCACTGTTTTAAGTAAAAAACAAAAAACCAAAGTATTTTGAATTCGTTCATGTTAATGTATACATTATTTTACTAAAAACCAAAAACAAACTTTTCAAGTACACGTTTTGTGTTATTGCATAGTATGTAAACACACATATACGGATTTTATTTTTGTACAATTGTGTTACTTACTTAGGTCCAACTGTATCCGACATGCACTCACATTTTAATTTTTTCTTTCCAGGATGACCAGAAAAGTTGAAAACGCGAGGATGACTTTGAACAACCAAACCTCTCATTGTGTATCTTTTCTGTTATATGCCCCCTAAACTAATTGAAATAGGAAAGAATTAACGAACTCTGTTGGACGTAGAACGAAATAAGTAGAGTGTTTACCAATGTCACGCTCAATAATTTTAAAATTGTGGCTGTTTTTTGTATCTTAAGATCTTCACCAAGAGATGTGAAAGATTTAGTGTTAAATAATTTCTCATAACAAACAATTCTGTAAGCTTCCGAGACTGATACTGATCTTATAAGTTTTATTGGATACAGATCAAGCCAATCACATTTGGAAAAGCGTTCAAACCAGATAGCGTTCGAATACACCATGAGGTGCATCTTTCGACAACTAGTATGCTAAAACCATATACTTCAAGATGCATCAACCATTTCTTAAATATATTGTTGGAGAGAACCATAGTTCAAAAGACTCTGAAGACACTGGGAAACATTTTATCCACTCAACTTTGAACAGAGGAGTCGCAGAAACATCTAAAAAATGAAGAGTCATGTGTCACATTTCTGATTGAATGATTAACTATCGTACTGCTATGTTTGGTAAGGTGTCATAAACTGCCAAAACATCAATGCCATCTGAAATACTAACAGTATCCTCGAGCTTCCGCACATGAAATAAACTTTTTGACAAGCGTTCTTATCACACTTTGCTCCTTTTCCCTCGTGTTCAAGTTACGTGTAGATTTGTCCTGGAGTTATCAGAAGAGCTTAAGAAACCGATTCAAGAGTTCATTTAGAAGGCTTGTCACATATTTTCGAATCCTTTTATTCCTGATTTGTGGTTCTCTGACTCTGGAAGCCTTGGACGAAAAGGCTTTACGGACAAGAGCATTGTCAAGCATTGTACATCTGTTACATTTTTAGGCCACAGCTAAACTATGCATCAGGATGAACCGTTTTCACATTGAATGACCTATCACTGGTTGATCGACAGCTAATCGTACGTCACCATGGTCAAAGATGACTAACTGGAATTAATCAATAACACACCATGGATGGGTACATATAGTAGTGATTCGACGTTTTATCTCCGTAATCTGTTCTTACTTACCTATACTTTTGTCTATTGAGTATGTCTGTTCTGACCTACCACTGAGGAAGCTACTTCATTGCTTATCACAAGAGGATATTCTAGGTTAGCTGTTAGCTGAAAGGTAGAAGATTACATCATTCTGGAACAGACCACCCACATTGATGATCGACAGCAGATAAGGGCTTACTGTAAAAGGATCTAGTTGTCTATCGTAAGTGGTTCGTAAGCATTCGATACTGATACTGAACTTAACAGTTTTGGTAGAGACTGCTACTTGAAGGCGTTTGATTGAGCATCCCAACCAGATGGTGACACCTTCTCAAGTGGGAAGATCCTCTCCTTTTAAATCATCACTTTAGATCACATAATCCTCCATCTCTGTCTACAAACAGTTATTATTATTATTATTATTATTATTATTATTATTATTAGCTTTATTCAATATTATATTATTGGTACAATATAGAATTCTCAGCACGAAGTATTTCAACAAGTTTCCGTTTCTTTCTTCTTGGTCGGTCCTCGCGATAAATACTGAGTGATCACCAGTTAGATGTTAACAGTCCAGTAAATTAACATCTGAATAATGCACATTCTTTTCATTGCATATTGCCAGCAACTATATTCTCTCTTTTTGAGCTTTTTGTAACTTCGACACTTTTCAGAAACGCAGCAGAATAGTTTGTGCGATTAATAGACATAATGATATATTAAAAGAAACAAAAATACATAACTTGTTGAAATATTTAGATGGCAGGAACAGGTAGCCCAGATGCTCAAGCAGGCCGCCTTGATATACCTTCCCTCTCAACCATCACCACCATCCGCCTTGTTTGTCTTCTGGGAAAATCGTCAGGTGATGGCTTTAAACCAGTACTGTTTAACTATGTAGAACTCAAAGTATCTAATGTTCCAAGAAAAATCTAATGTCATTAAAGTTACGTAAGCTGGTAATTGCCCAATATAAATAAAATATATGACATTTTTTATACAGAATATTTTTCTTTTTCCTGTACGATCACTAAGTTAATTCAAAATAAAACCTGCAAATAAAACAACCAAATAAGTGCTCATGTAAAAATACATCAAATATACTGTGTACATATACACAAATAAAAAGAGAAAATATACTGTCGTAAAAAAACAAACAACCTGTCAAAGTACATACATTAACTCATATAATCATTATTAGCTTCAGTAGTGATTTCCTTGAAACTAAAAAAACCATTCTCCTAGAAACTTATGGAACGTAAACAAAATGTATGAATAAGTAACAATAAAATCACTAATTTATTAGGTTCAAAGATCAATAATATCTTTTTTCTTTATATATGTAAAACATTGTACAAATTAGTTGAAATCAAAATCAAGATTATATATTTGTATGTAAATCGTTTTGTTTAAATTATCTCTACATTGTTTCAATGATAAACTACCAAATATATTCATTATACATGTTGATTCAATGTTAAACATTAATGATCAAATCATGTACCATATAATTATTTAAGAGAATAAACTTATTCTACATTATATTTGTGCATTTTAACTATTTTCAGAATTCATTCCATTTCTTCAATTAACTGGAGGCAATGGACCTTTGCTTGATCTACGATGTGTTTTATCAGTTTTATTTCGTTCAGTATTCTGTGAAGATCTATTAGGCTGATCGGAATTTTCTCCAGTAAAATGGACTGAATAACTGCTAGATTTTCGTCTAAGTGAATTATTACCATGTGTTTTTTCTTCTTCGTGGGTTTGCATATCTTCATTTTTCAACTTTTCAACTGATTCAATACTATCGGTTTTATTTTTTTCAGCCATTGCTTTTATTTCTTCTGGTTTAAGTAGAGAAGCCAAACTAAAAATAGAATTAAAAGAGAAACCAATGGAAAAAATTAAATTTAAAGTGAGAGGAGTGTACGTTAGTATGTATTTCATCATACATTCAGTAAACGTAGTGTATATCAAGTTCATAAATTGTTTAAAATTGATGGAACTATTCCTAAGACAATCAAATAGTAAATGTAATATATTGTATAAGTTAAATTACAAGGAATACGGGTTTCTGATGCAAAATATTTGCGATCATACATGATATGATTAAAGGCATAATCAATGATATTTTGCGAATCAAAAGTTGTCCTCCAATCCTAATCTTAAATCTTAACCAGTACACTCTAACTCTAATCTTGAATTCTAACCTTAATACTTAATACTAAGCCTCAAGTGTAATCCTCTAAACCCTAACACTCCTAAACAAAATTTTAGCCCAACTTCTCATTTCTAGCCTTAATCTTTACTCATTTACTATAATAAATATCGCAACATGTAAGAGTTCATCAGTGGTGTCGAACTACATATGCAACTTGATTATATCGTTCATTATTATTAATTGTTTCATAAATAAATACTGTTTTATGAACGGCTAATAAGTTCCTCATTATAGCCGGTATAAGTTACATACTTAAAATTTTGAAACGATTATACCAATTATCTTGTCAACTTATTAAAATATGTTCTTATAACCAAATGTACTCAATATATTGGAATTTCTAAAGAACACTCAATAGTTATAGCAGTATAAATTAAGATTAGTAAGATAGACTGAGCATTCTTTTCCACTTTCTAAGAGTTAGTTTATATAAATTGTACTCCTTGGATCTAAATATATTAAAACTCTTAGTTGTTGGGCAATATAAGACGATCGACTGAGCAAGTATATATTTAGTAATAGAGACCAATCAATTATAGATATCAACATAACAGGTAAACTTCCCTGATAAGTCCCAAATACCGATTAATTCTAAGAGTTTAATTCATAATAACAGTTTCTATGAATTACAATACGTTTTTAAATCTTTAATTATCAGATTATAAACTAATCATCTGTAACACATCATATAGTTTCTCCATCAAATTCATTTTCTCCTTAATATTGAATATTAAACACTGGTAACTGTTGAAAGTGTTTATTATCAAAATAAAGATTCAATTTCACCTTTTCAGTAAATGAATACAAACTATGTGCATATTGTAGCAAACCCATTCAACTAATGTATTATTTGTCTACTCACTATAATTCAGACACTTAATTCACTATGTTAATTTCTGAGTGTGTATGATTGAGAGCGTGTCTGCACATGAATTCTTAATCTATTCTCGTATTGGTTGTAACATTAGAGATAATCAAAAATTTATCCGCACTTGATTAACACTCAAAAATATACATGGATTTTTAACACACACACACACTCTTGGTTTCACAGTGTGCTTGCTCGCTGTACTCTTGTGGATTTTATCTTTAACAATAAAATATCTCTACAACTGGCGTTCAGGCTTCTGAATAATCTCGAGTAGATCCATAATCCTACTAAGAAATTTAGCCTGCCTTAAATAATCAGTTAACGGGATATCATTTATTGGAGTCAGATATAGAAGAAATGAACCCTCTACAATATAAAAACAATTTTAATAATAAAATAAGTTAGCTTACCCATGATTATCTCCCCTAAAAGTAAATAAAAAAAGAAAAGAACTCAGAGAAAATAACAATAATCGACGAAATATTTATTTAGCTAATTAAAACTAATTTTGAAAGATCGATTATTTTGGAAATGAAATGAATAATATTATTCACTTATTTGAAGTCATAATGAATGATTGAATTATTCAATTATCAACACATATCATAATGAATCGGATGGGGATGCTAACCCCACGCTTGGGACTGACAGTAGCCCTAGAAGAGTTATAGGCAGATGAATAGTAACTGAAAACAACTGGAAAGGATTTCTCAAGAGAATGCTGGTCGGAGGCCTATTCTCCTCCACGAGGGGTAACTGGCGTAAGTATGGAAGCGTTAGTGTTAAACGTCTCAGTTTATAGTGCAAATGAAGGAAAACTGGATATTACTTATTTATGGTTTGTTTTTTTCTTTAATGAATGATATTCAAATTAAATTCTAATCAAAATACATAAGCACAAAAATACACGGAGAAATACTAAAAAGTGGTATAGATTGACTCCAACTATTAGAAAACTCATCAAACGTAATATTATATTAGAATGTATTTTTTTTATGTTATTTCTAAACTTATACATGAAACACACTCAAATTTATATAAACTTAAGTTTTTACTTATGAAATTCATACTCTTCTCAAGGTATACATATGAAACCAGAATCTTTCTTTTCACCGTAATACCATTTTTAAAATATGAATTAACTGGTTTCTTTCGTTGATTATGAGATTCCATTGCACGAAAACACGTAACAAGTAACCTTATGAGCCGAGCCGTATGAAATGGTTGTGTCAAAGTAACAACTTTCATGACTAATCAAACAATCTCAAAATAAATAGTTACTTTCTCTCTTCTTCCAAGAGATTTGTGTCTTGGTCTTAAGGATAGTATACCTTACTTCTTCAATATGAATATTAAATGACAAAATGGTCTTTCGAACAGTCAGAGCTTGAGCGATTAAAATGTATGAGACTATTTTTGAGCCTCGGTTTATGTTTTGTGGTAACTAGTCTAACAAAATTTCGATGTTGGATCTATGATATAAGAGAGTTTTACAAATATATCCCGTTTGTATTACAGATGTGTTAGCTATACACATCACAGATTCAGGTCAGTATACAGAATACGGTTTGTAAGATCGCTTTTTGTTGTTGTTGATCTATTTTCTCCCATATTTCCGTATCTTTCATTATGTTTTGAAGTCGTTTCTACTTATTTATCTTTAAGCAAAAAGTAATTTTATCCTAATAAATATCAAATTGCGTCTGAATACATTGTACTGAAAATTCTTTAATCTCTTTCATACATGAAGTTTTATTCTCCCTTACGGACATCTATATTTGACTACTTCAAAAATTACAACAAAATATTTCATTTTCCAGTTTTATCTCTCATCTTTAGTGTTTTATATGCCTAATGTGTATTTTCAAGTCCATGTGATGATCTGTTCAATATATTTTATATTTTATTATGAACCCTATAAATCCTAATTACTATACACGTGTACTGTAACAGAATATTTATTTATCACTCTCTTTCATTATAAGTCTGATCCAATCAAATTTTGATAAAAAAATTGTAATGATATTTTTAAACAAAGATGGATAGTGGCTAGCAGTGGAATTCAGGACGCGCGTTTCATCCTATTTGGGACTCGTCAGCCGGATGTACTTACATCCCAGAGTTGATATTCACTCTGGGACTCGAACCCAGTGCCGTTTGCTTCAAATGCCATCACGTTATCCACTTAGCTACTGAGTCCTGATAGCCACTAGCTTGTGTAACTCCACTTGTTATTGTTTACTTGAATCTTCTTATTCATGTTTAGGACTTCAATTGATCAGTCTCCTATTGGCATATATGCATTCCGTGCTTCCTAAACATCAATGGGAAGATTTAAGTAAACAATACCAAGTGAATGTAATGATATTTATTTCACTATTTTAATAGGCATAATGAATTTAATAATCTAAGGTTATATACTTCCTAAATTACTATGATTTACCAAATTTCTTTTTTAAAATTACTCTAAAAACCATAATAATCATTAAAATAACATCAAACAGATAATGCCTAGGGAAATAACTTTTTAAATATAAATCTCATATCTTACTCAATTAATGGCGGTGGATCAGGTAGGGGTTTATTGAAATTATCTTTTCCAATTAACCAAAATGAATCAACTAAACCTTTGCCTTTTAATTCAACTTTACCACGTAATTGTAAATGATAACCGCCCAAAACATCCAGAATTGATTTTGTAGTTGGACTAACATGAATACGAAAAGCTTTAGAAAATATATATAAAAAAATATTTCGTTATTATACTTATATATATATATATATATATATATATATATATATATATATAATGAATAAGAATTAAGGAAATTATTTCAAAAATAATTAACCAAAGTAGTTCATTCTGTAACGACAGAGTAAAGTGTGAATGGTCGATAGTTGTGTCTGGATCTCCAATTTCGTTTTATTTAACTGATACATAATTCATAAGCAGATAGTTTGGTTTAATAAATCATATATATAATAGTTGATTTCACGAGTCAGTTAAAGCTAGACCACCATTTAAAACCTGGAAGCATTGGATGGCCGTTTCGTTCTAGTATGGGACTCCTCAATAGTGCACATCCACGATCCCGCTCGCAGGGTTTGAACGCAGGACCTTAGGTCTCACGCGTGAACGCATTGCTGAGGAGTCTCATACTAGAATGAAGCAGCCTTCCAGTGCTTCCTGGTTTTCCATGGTGGTCTAGCTTTAACTGACTCATGAATTCAATTATTAAATTGTTACAATCTCCACAAAACTACCCTTCTGAAAAAGATGTATATACATATTCATATATTTATTAGTTTAAAGTTTGGTTCGTTATTCAATTGGGGCTAGGAAATCTGTTCCACACTCAAGGGATCAGTTTAATTTACTAAGTTATCATTAGTATTTTTATCAAATCTATTGGGATGTTGTAACATAAAGTTCCATGTAGTTTTTAATTAGTTAATTAATAAAGGAACTCATTGTGTTATGAACGAATAAATGAGGACGATTTAGCCAAGAAAATTATTCTTTCTATGATTTCATTTATTTAAGCTGAACATTCTTCACCACTCTGTTCACTTCCAGCTGAATGTTTTTTTATTGTCAATCTCAAAAGCACTATAATTAGACTAATAATTGACAATTAATATCTTATACAAGTTATATTTAGATAATACTTTCATCATTTGTGGTAAGAGTATGGATTTCGATAGTATCCTGAATGAATTAAACAGCTGCTATCAATCAGTTAAGTTTTAAAAATAGTCAACGTCGAACTTAGAATGAAACTTCATGAATGTTTTGTTGAAAAAAGAAATTTTATAATTCTCTTCGAAGATCACTAATGTAGGGAGCTAATGTGGAACACAAATTTTTCGAGTTGGGTTTTTTTGAACCAAAAGAAAAATCTTACTCAATCACTCTTCACGAAAGACAAATGAGTCTGTGCTGATGATATGACTGATATCAAACTTGATGAACTACTTCAGGTATCTACTAACAATGGCTATCCACCACGAATTATTGACAAAAGTAGAAAGCCAAATAAATCTAAAAGGTTTTTTTTGACACCGAATTATGTCCTCTTTATGCACATATAATTTAAAGGAGATCTTGCAGTAAAAATTCTGAAAATAAGGGTCTCATGATCTCTGCAAAAAAAATTCTATTCAGCTGAACTTCGTGTTATCTTTTCTAGTCGGTCCTTGATTAGTCGTTGTATAGAAAAAACGGTCCGCTTTTGGACAAACTATCATGCACCCGTCAAATTACCTGCTTATATGGAACAGGTTATATTAGCCACGTAAAGCGAGCTCATTCGAAACACATCTACAAACGTTACTCTTCCTGGCTGTCTAAGTAACTATACAAGTCGGTCAAAAGTTAAATCATAGGATATCTTGTTAATGCGGGTCAAACTGATTCATCTGAATCCTCCTTCAAATCATCTTTACAGTTAGGCGAATCGATTCAAAGAGAATACAGATTAAAAACGTATATATAGCGGAGGCTCTAGATTTCTATCTATTCAAGCCTAAGTTTTGTGTACAAAAACAGAATGTTCATTATCTCATTCTGTCGCTATCTCAACCTTCCATTCTTAATAATTCAATATTTTTTTTACCCCTTTCCACATTGTATCAACTATTAGCTTAACATCATAACACTGATTAATTACTCTATACTTCCTATTTATCAAGTAGAGAACTACCACTCATCCGTAAATCATTTTCACCAACCACAAGATTCTTACATAATCTCTGTTCAATATTTCATTTTCCTTAAAAGTTTATGATATAGAAGTTTTATTTTTAAATTACACAAGATGTCTTTCTTTATTTACAATCTGATATTTAAAACTTGTTTATGGCTGACAATTTTTGTCCTTCCAAATGATACAACATCACTCTATTTTAGCTTATGTTATTAGTTCAAGTTAAGCTAGTCAACTGTAATTGTACAGGACAAACTGTAAACCACATATGGAGAAATTCGAACACTTCATTTCTATCTGAAATTTGTGCTGATGATATCGTTCAGAAGAACGATAAAAGCTCCTCGACCAATTCATCCAGCTTATAGAACAAAACTCTGTCAAAATCATCCACCTGAGCTACAAATCTTCTCCATCGTCTCAAGAGAAAACTAGGATATTTATTTCTAGGTAGAGAATTAAAGGTTACTATTTGAATTTTATACACTAACTGTTTTGTATTACCAATAAATCTCTGAGTAAGTTACTTCTATGAATTTTGTAATAGTTAAACTGATAAACTAATGTTTGTGATTATGTAGTTCACCTTAACGAAGAGAAAACTGATGGGATCTTAGGTACGTACATATAACGATGTACATAATTTATTACAACGTAATTTTCAAATGTTTGTTTTATTTAGCTACATAAACGACTTCTAGATGGTCAAAATTCAAAAACATGTGTTTGGAGTTTGGTAACGTCATTGAGATCAAGCACCGATTTGAGTTGGACAACTATTGAAAAGCTGGTAGTACAATACGGCCACTTCATCCTAGTTTGGTACACGTAACCGGTGCACATAAACAACCTTGCCACTGGGGATCGAACCCTTGACTATTAGTCCCACGAGTGGTGTTCATTGATCACTGCTTCTCACTAGAATTCCATAGATTTTTTGTTGTCGCTAGTCATTAGTGAGCACATGATGATTATCAGTATGGGAGTTGTGAAGATCATTGGAGGTTATTAAGACCACTAAATCATCTAAGTTAGACAACTATTGAAAACCTGAATGATTCTATTGAACATATTCAAAAATAGATATCAATTGTTCTAATGAAGTGTTGAGAATTATGAATTAAGGAATAATTTAAGTAAACGGTATCTTATAGTTAAAGTGCACTAAATTTGGGTATACTTTCAATATGTTACATTTAATATTTTCATTAAATCATATCTATCCGAATGGACTAGATGTAATGAGGTTATTAACAGACAAAACAAAGGTAATTTAGTTAGGAGTAAATTATCAAGACTATTGTGAAGTTTAGCTATGATTTATTATCAGAAAAGGGTTTTATGAAGATTTTAATAATTTTATAGTTGAATCTATGAGTCGATTAAAGCTAGACCACCATTGAAAAACATGGAAGCACTGGACGGCCTTTTCGTCTTAGTATGGGACGAGATCGTAGATGCGCACTGTTGAGAAGTCCCATATTTGGACGAAACAGCCGTCCAGTGCTTCCAGGTTTTCCATGGTGGTTTGGCTTTAATCAACTCATGAATTCAACTATCATTTATTAATAATAAGATGTTTATTAGTGATCAAAAACTAACTTTTAGTCAAATGTGATATTAGCCATGAATCATAATTTAGGATGAAAATTTACTACATAAAACAGCATTAATAATTTTCTGCATCTGTGAATGTAATGTAGTTTTTCTAGTGGCATTTAATCCACCACACGTTTTATAACCTGTCTTCGTTTACTTCTTATTGTCAACCTGACAATCAATAAAGACGAATATTGATATGAGTTTTCTAGACTTTTCTAGTGTATAACCAGATATTACATAATATTATTCTGTCTTTGGAACAGTTTTCAACAGTGAACACTTAAAACGAAAACTAAAAACAACAAGAAAGTTAAAGTTTCTTAATTTTGTCACAAAATTGATACATCAACTGATATTTAAAAAAGATATCGGAATAATTGTGTCAAAAGTTACCAGATCCTGTTGATTCCATTCTAGATGCAGTGTTCACTGTATCTCCAAACAAACAATATCGTGGCATTGTTAATCCAACTACACCAGCAACACATGATCCTAAAGTCAAAAATTCACAAATGAATTATGCTTTTTAGTAAAATATTAAATCTCTAAGATACTCATCATGATGTTTGTAAGATATTTAAAGGAATTTCATAAGACGAGTATGGTTTAGTTTTGTTAGAATACTCGATGAATAAATTTCATTTCAGTCAAATGATTTAATTGCCATGAAGAAATTCAACTGACACTTTACTCACAACTGTTTCAAGGAGGACTAATCAACATTTGACTTTCTATTTTCAAACTTTACATCTATTAAAGTTCCTTACTGTAAACTTATATTAATGAAATAATCATGTATGTATAAAGCGCTTGAATGAATCCGGAGGCTTTTCTAAAGTGATCGAATGTGCTATGCTTTCAGGTACTAAAAGATAAATATGGAAGAACTCGAATGGTTATCATGTTTTCATTCTAAAATATTCTTTTGTGTAACTAGAGCAGCATAAATTGAGATTATACAGCAAGGCGATGGTTGAACGCTTTCAGCGTTGATGATAAATAAACACTATTAGAAGATATTTTAATGCATATTTTTCATAAATACGAATGAGATATATGTCTAAAAGGAATTTATAGAAGTAATGAATATTTAATTCTAAGAATTCTTTGCTATAACCAAACTTGGGGTATTTAATAAAGTGGTTATTATTACTAGAGACTAATCACAGCCTGTGAAAAACCTATGGTATAAAACAAAGATAATTTCCTCCATTTCGATCAATACTACTGTTTGATGTATTAAAATAGAATAAAATTATGATTGATAGTCTCATTTTTGAAAATATTGAAAGTTTATAAGTAAAAAGATACAAGATCAAAAGTGATCAGTGTTTGAAGTAGAATACAGCCGACTGAGTCTTGCGGTTATTAACATAAGTAGTAATGAGGAAATTTACCTCTAGTCAGAAAGTATCATGTCAGTCAGTTATAACGTAGCACCCGGCACATATATGCATCATTTCAAGTTGCCACACCTCATTAGCACAACAAGATGAACACCGAATTCATAGAAGTAGTTACCTCAATGGTAGTAATATAAGAAACAAAGATTTTGTATAAGAATATAACACAGAGAGAAATAATAAGTTGGTAGAAAGAAAGATATAAAGTAATTTTAATCTCATGGTTTAAGGGAAGACAAAGAGTGTTGGCAAAAGGCAAACGAGCCTTTTGAATCCGTGCAGAGATTTCGTCAGACACCAACCCATTATGGCTGATCAGGCTTCCAAGATAAGTGAGGTTGTCGACGCATTTAGAGGTCTCAATGTCAGATGACAGTTCGCCATAAGCTGTGACTCGACTGATAGTGTTTGAGTAACGAGGATTCATAACGTTTATGAGGTACACTTTTTAATGACAGACACTGCCACAGAACCTCTCGGTGTACAGAGTCAAATGTTGATTTTAAGTCAAGAAAAACTATCATTGTCAGACGCTCATAAGCATAACTGTGTTCTAAAACCTGACAAATAGTGAATATATAGTCCATGCAGCCACGACTAGGAATGTATTATGTAAATAATTTTGAAATTGTAACATTATCTAATCATCAAATATGACAGATGAAGTATCTGTTAAATAAGGAATCAAACTAGAGATTTCTTAAATAAGAAACAGGATTAATCAATGTAAGGAACGAGCTTTTAAGACTAAAGAAAATGAATCATGAGCTACGTTCAGGAATCCAGAAAACTGGATAACATAATAAAAATTTCAACCTTAAAAAACACCGAGACTCAGGAAAAAAGAGAGAGTAATCGAAATGCATGTCAATTACTCTACCGATTTGTCCAAACAAAGGATCAGTGACTTATTGTAAAAAAACTAATTTACCTATGTATGATAAGAAAACTGTTTAAATATTATTCATGCTACTTAATATGAATTAGTAGCACGATCACAAGGCTAAGAAAACAATGAACAGGTAAAAACTTAGGAATAACAACTCCAACTGAAAGGAATCAGCCAAGGTGGAGACAGTCCAGTATTTTGTTGGAAATTATACATATATATTTACTGTTACGAAGAATATAGCATAAATGTTGTGAAATACTCGAAGATCCTCTAGAATAAATCGATTTGTCGGTAGTAGGGGAATTAAAAGCACGTTTCATCCTAGTTGGAACTCGTCAGCTAGATGTCTCTGCATCCTAGTGTTCATGATTTGAGGTTTTTTACACTAGTAGTACGAAAATATTCACATGAATAACTTATAATCACGTTAAAATAATTTATCTACCTGAATGCAATCCAATGCGTAAACGAAGTGGTACATCTGGCATATGACGAATTACAAATGTTCCACATTCACTCAACAGATCTAAAGCCATAGTAGCAATTTCTCCTGCATGCAACTGACCATTACGTATTGGCAAACCGGAGACAACCATGTATGCATCTCCAATTGTCTCAACCTTAATAAACAAAGCAAGTATAATTTTATATAAATTTGGTAAACTGTCAATTTTCAATCATTTTATTGCATTAGAAAGTTATATCATTACATACTTTCAAACTTATGAACGTACAGTAAATCGTTACACTAACTATAGGATATCACGAATTATAAATTGCTCCTATTCAAATAATAAGTCATGGATCAAAGCATGAATGAGTTTAATGTAAAAACTTTTTTTTTCTGTGATGTGTAGAGAGAGGAGGGGTAAAACTCGTTACTTTCAACGTGAAATGAATTTCTTCATGTGAATCTTATTATAATTGTGTTAATAAATGAGGTGAAGCATTCAAATAATTCAAGATTATCTAATGAAGTCAATTTCTCAAAATCGTTTTTAACACAAGATTAGTTAACTAAATGAATCATCAAGATAATAAACATTATCATTTGTTATCATAATATAAGAAGAGGAAAGAATAAGAAACTTGTGGTTTGTTTTTGATGAGTTGGTTCTTGTTACATTTAATATTCTTATATATAGTTCTTACTATTGTTATATCCCTATTGTCCATTAGATATTATCAGTTAACAAAAAAAATATGTTACATGCTATTGTATCGACAGTGTCTTGGTAATTTACAAAATGTAGTTGGTTGTAGTCTTTCATTCTGCTTTTTATCATTAATGTAAGTTTAGAGCTTAAATAAGATGAGTACTTGTGACCTATCGTCTTGTGATTGTGAGAGGTTTACTATTAATGCGAAAATTATTTAACTTCCGTTTTCTGAATGGAAATCTTGAAATAATTTAATTATCTTCTGTGTCAGATCAATTTATATTATTAAATCCAATAAAATTGGAATAATTTATATCAGCTTCAGTTATATTGAGACATCGATAGCGAATAGATTATTGAGTTGACTTAAACAGAATGTCAGTGACTTGTTATGATTATTACAATATCAACAATGATTGTGGCTAATTGTGCTATTTATTTTTGCAACTTAGCAGTGTTATGTAGCTGACATCGATTTCTTTGTCTCGTAAAATACTTTATATACATTGTGCTTTATTTCACTTTCTTCTCGAAGTATGAAAGCCCTTTTAAAAGTTTCATTTCTTCTAGCCCAGACTTTCTGGCTTCCTGGTTGTTGGACTGGAAACGGGATGATTTCGTATGGGCTGTTGAATGTGGTGAGTGTTAGATTTACTGGACTCATAAATATCGCTGGCATAAGTGCATTCAAAATGGTAACATTTATTTAGACTTCTAAGAAAGAGGGTACTTTTCCTGATGTTATTCTTATTATTATTAATGATCTTATTTAATATTAAATTCTTGGTACTGTATACAATTCTCCGGACAAAGTATATATACTAGTTTATTTTACAAAAAACAGGAAAAAAAGTGAAAGAAATTGATAACTGCATAATTCTAGACATGAGTTAAGTAGACAAACGGCCTAGAACGAACGGAAATTTTTTTAAAAAGAAGATGTGAACTTGTACAACGTTTTAGTTAGAAATATGTCTAAGAATATAAGTTGTTGACTAGATCAGCTTTAACAACCTGCTCTTCACATAGAATATTTACTAGATAAGGTATTGTAGAGCTTTCATATATTTGCTTGCGTGTATGGATTTTAATGTATTGACGTCTCATCCTACCAGAGGATATGCAAGGAGAAGGATATAAATGAAGCGGATGTTTAGTATCTGATAACACCTGCCAGGAGTTTGCAAAACTTTAGATGGTTATCCACAACCAAATAGATAATGACCTCAAAAAATTCACCACACACCCTACCAACTACCTACAGCGCTCCCCACAGTACAGCAAAATCTTTTATCAATAGCCTGTGGAAGAATAATGGAACCAGTAAAGCATAATGGGTAATATGCAAGAATTAACAAATTGTAAGAGTAAATGCCGAGATCAAGTGCAGTCAAATTAACGTAGTTGTTCGTAACATGAACATGATTGTGATTATTCAAATGTTTTAGATAGTATCTTAAAGTTAAACGGTTCATAAAGTCGTTTGAAAACTGACAACGTACAAAAGTAGATCGACACTAATCCACGTTTACAAATGTAGCTGCACTGTCGCAACACCTTTTCTTATTGCTTGGTCGATCGTGACAATAAATAATGATATCTTGTAGTGATACCAAGCAATCGTCTTGTAAATCACTTGTTCAGGATTCTTGGATTGTAATTACATCACAGTCACGATACATGTTTTTATTTATTAAGAATTGAAGATAGTCCACTTTGCCAATTAGCTATCGGCAGTTAGAAGTTAGCAGTTTATGAATCAGTATCTGATCAATATTCAATTTCGATACATATTTGCGTTAAATGCAAAGCAGTATATTTTTCTAGCCTATCTTTTCGAAACACCTGATAATTTATATTTACACCCATTGATGCAATCTACTATATTGAAACGCCTAGTTATCACATCCCTAACTCCATATCATTAATGAAGCTGACTCATTATAAGTTCGCATTCTAAATAAATTACTTTAAAAGTAAAATTTTGGAGACTCTGGAATAATTTGCCACAATCTGTTCATGGAACAAAATCACTTCCATCTTTTATCTATTTTATCAATCTTTATGTCTCCTATGGAAATGCCATAAATGTGCTTGCATATTTAAGTATATCCCATTCCACTAGAGAAATCATAGGGAAATGACATGTTTAGTTATTGTTATTATTGAGGCCACTTATTAAATATCTCTTCCTGAAGATATTTTACACTTATACCACCTCTGGTAAATTTAACAGATTTATATAATGTTTATTCCGAACGGTATATCACAAAACAACCTAACAAATATATAAGAGTAGACTCATTCTAGTTAATATCGCTGATGTTGTTCTGTGATCATTGTTTACAGTTTCTTTCCATTAGTTGCGAATTTAACGAAGACTTTGTGAGGAAGAACGATATATTGTTTAATGCAAAATTACAAAATCCCTTCGTAAAATATGTAAACCATCTACGTTCACTTGTCGTTTACATGCTTCATGATTCTTCTAATTTCGTTGTTATTCTACTTGCTCTCTATTTTCCTTCCTGTTCTCTTTAATTCAATCTACTGTTGGTATACATTCTATTTGAGATCGGTGTTACATACAACTTATATCTTTCAGCAAAAATAGTGTACACCACATTTAGAGGTGGTCATATGTACTCTTTTGTAGCATTGGAAATGACCCTAAATACACTACTCGTATATCGACAGGATGTCTAATTAAAAAGAATTGACGGTTACCAACTGCTCACTGACATTGTTGTAACGCACGTGACTAATGTACTCCCTTACCAATCTTTGGACTACAACACTTCAAACAATCTGTTCTTTCCGTTTAACATTACTATCATTATCAACCTGATCATGCTTGTATATTGCCATGAATCCTGTAATCGTTTTCAAAAAAACATATTTATTTATTTATTGTCTCTATACTTTTCATAAATACTTAATTACTTAGACCAGTGATTTGTTTCATTCCACTGCTCAACTAATTATATCCAGAGTAAGCTTAAACGAATTCATTTGTACAATGCCTTCTGTTCTTCGTCAGAGGTATTTATGTGAAATACAATGTCTATAAACAAATCAAATCAAAGAAAAAGACTTTCAACGCGAGTGACTGATATGACTACGGATTAAACCATTTGAGTTGATTACATCATCCACATTTCAAATATTACTTGTTCTTGAAGGTTGGTTGCTTACTTCTTTTTTATTCATCTTCTAAGACAAAGTTTGTGAGTGTAGATTGTAAGGACTTTAATATTACAACTGCTAGTCCCTGAAAGTTGTGCCATGTCAAAAATTGACAAAAGTTAAAAATACAAACCAGGGTATTCTGATATCAGTGATCTAGAGGCTTTGTAGTTCACAGCAATACTTATAAATTCTAAGCAGGCAAATAATTAAATCAAACAACATCTGATAACATAGTAATGATGTACAATATTTACAATTCACGTTCATAAATCATTCAAAAACACTTACTTTATATACATCATAAAAGTCAATTGTTGAATCAAACATTGTATAAAGGTCGTTTAACAAATCAACAACTTGAAATGGTGTAGACAATGCAGATATTGTTGTAAAACCAACAATATCACTGAAATAGATTGTCACTTCATCAAATGCTTCAGGACAAACGGGTTTACCAGACATTAGGGTTTCCGCTACAACACTATTTTATATAAGAATAAATAACAAAGTTTTAACAAAGAGTAGACAGTTTCCAACAATATAAACATATTAGATTCATAAAAGGAATTGAAGAAAACACATAGAATAACGTATAAGGAAACTTAAATATTCAACAATCAACTAATCTTAATGAAATAATGTTCGAAGTAACGTTTAATGTAGCTTACGTAAAATTTTAAACCATACTTATATCTTTTAATTTGAAATGGTCTAGAGTGCAAGTAAATCTGGCTGATGAGTCCAAAATAAGACGAAATGGGTGTCCTTATTTCACTGGAAGCCATATTTGGCCTAATTTGTTTGTAATCTTATATGTATTATCCCAACGCGATAACACTTCTCAGAGTAAAATGTTATTTGTCAATTTATGTTTTTAATCAGAGAGGGGTTTTGTGAATATTATAGTAATTTAGTAGTTGACTTTATGAGTCAATTGAAGCAATACCACCATGGAACACCTAAAAGCACTGGACGTCAGTTTCGTTCTAGTGTGGGACTACTCAGAAGTGCGCATCTGCGATCCTGCCTTGCGAGATCCGAACCTAGGACATATTGGTCTCGCGTGAGAACGCTTAATCTCTAGACCACAATTTCATAGATTGATTGAAGTTAGAAATTAACACTGTTGCATGCCGGCTAAGTGATTTAGAGATTGAATGTTCGCGCACTAGATCGATGGGTTCTGGGTTCAAATCTCGCGAGGCAGGACCGCGGATGTGCACTGCTGAGGAGTCCCACACTGGGGCGAAACTGTCGTCTAGTGCTTTTAGGTGTTCCATGGTGGTATAGCTTCAACTGACTCATGAATTCAACTACTAAATTTATTTTTTTTCTAGGTAGCTAAGTTAAAATCTAATAATCTACATTTTTAACTTCACACGATGATTTATTTATTTCGGTCTGTGATAATTATATTAAAGTAGACATAATTAAACTTTTTCAGTTAGCAATAACCTAACTAAAATCCAGTCAGCATTGAGCATATGACTATTGTTTAGTTCATCAGGTTGGGATGATTAGTTCTGATGCCTAAGATATAGTAGAATTAATATTCATGACCTTGATTTTTCGAAATTTTGATGATGCAATATAGACATGGCCGCAAACAACGTCAGTAATTCGAAATGTTTGCAGTGTTATAATCATCTAATTTTCGTCTAATATATGTGTAGTATAAGCTACCTATGCTGACAAATATAATTCGTATGCAACATCAATCTCAAGTGGAATGTCTACCAACAGAAGATTGAATTGAAGAGAACAGGAAGGAAAATAGAGAGCAAGTAGAATAACAACGAAATTAGAAGAATCATGAAGCATGTAAATGACAAGTGAACGTAGATGGTTTACATATTTTACGAATGGATTCTGTAATTTTGCATTAAACAATATATTGGTCTTCCCCCACCTTAGTTTTCGTCCATTACATATGCAGTGGGATCAGTCCTGTTTGAGGAGACACAAAGTCAATAAAAGAGAACTGATCAATTAACACATCTGACTTTCAAATACAGTTCGTTACCTAAAATACCAACACTGTCTAATGCTACAACAAATTCTTAATAATCAGGACAGTGTACCACCGTCTCACTTGTGCATGATGTCGAATACATATGAATTGTAAAATGATAGTAAGGCGATTGATGAGGGGGTAGCACATTTAACCAAAGATCAATAGATTCATTGAAATATTTCTTTCTGAACTCAAAAAATGCTTACTGGAAATTTTTCGCTGTATTTTGTTCTGATGATTCTTTTTAAAAGAAAACTGTTCATAGTTAAACTATATTACTCAGAGAACGCAACTTATTAAACTAATAGCTAAATTTAATTATTGTATTTAGTTAAGACTTACGGAGGAAGCATCCTTGCTATTAGTAATTCAGTCTTTTTCTTTTCAGTTTCCAATTCTTCTGTACGAACACGTACTTGATCTTCTAAGTCAGCTGAATACTTTTCCATCATCTTGAACATATGATCTACGATGTTGATTTTTCTAAAAGAAACGAATCGTTAAGACCATTTTTATATTGATCTCAAATAATAATATAAATATTTATTAAGAGATTTCTAAATAAAGTTTAGTCTATAGTTTGAATATCCTGCACTTGGAGAGTTATTCACCCACGGTAATCAACATGTCATATAAACTCGAAAGAAAACTGGAGTAAATCTTCCTTTCTTGACATGTGACTCATGATGCCATCAATACTAAATCTTTTTGCTATCGATTTTAAACATATAAAATTCATTGAAACATTGAATGGTCAAATACCAATTGATATCATGAACTAATCAGAAGTAGCCAAATGAGAAGGTCAGTCGATATTCATCAGAAGTGACTTGAAGGACAAATACGTATCATTGACTAATAAATTGATTGATTTTCTATAGGATATAGCTGTATACATATATCAATGAGTATTTCTGCATTTTATTTTGTAGCCCGATATACTTTCTCTTCAACTCTTGTGTTCTTGCTCAAATAGTTATTTGGGGGGGGGTTAGCGCGTAGCACGTCGTGTATCAGTATCAGATTTTGGACACCACCCATTACAGCACTAATCATAACTGTTAATACTAGAACTTTAGATAAGTTGAAATTTATTGGTAGTTAAAACTAACAGTTACCTTTGAAACGATTTTTAAATATAATTAGCAGAAGAAACAAGAAGTTTAGTTTTAAAAATGGTATCAGGTTTTTCAAGCAAACATTCTAAAATGAAGTTAGGTATTTACAAACTGAGAGCTAATGTTTAGCATTTAGAGGTAGAAAAATAAATTGATTCTAATCATTTTAAGAAATCAGATAATATAGTACTCCATCATATGGTTAACCTAAAGCTTGTGCTGATGATGTTATTCAGAAGAACGATGAAAGCTCCACGACTAAACTATCCGGCTCAGAGTACAAAACTCCATCAAAAATGGTTAACCTCTAAGTTTATCTTAGCGAAAATCATGTTATAATTATAATATGAAATGAATTTTTTATATTGAAGAATAAAACTATGGAAATGTAATAGAAAAATATAGGTGACAAACAGATTTAAAACTAGATTTATGACAGTTGACATAGTAATGTTCATTACAGTGGTGTTTTAATTGATAAAAACATACTGAGTTTATTGTTTGTGTGTATTTTTGAGTGCATTTCGACTTCATGGATCCAAGTATACACTTATGTCGTGAAATTTGAATGATGGAAGAACTATCATTAAGATGTTCAGAAAATGGAAGGCTGACAATGAACAGATTTTGGAAAAAAATATATAACGAGTAGATAACTTTAATAGATAACTTTGTTACTAGACTAACTAAAAAAATCAATGAACCAACTTTTATTCTATACATGTTCCATTCATTTAAATTTAATGATGATTAATATCCGAATCATTCATTAAACTTACTTTCCTTGATTAAGTTGTCTAAGTTGTTGATAGATTTCTTCAAATGTTGGTCTCATTACAGGACTTTCTGCCCATGCACGTTTCATAAATTCTAAATAAGCTGGAGGAGCTTCAGACTGTGAAACCTTAATTGACAAAATAATACATAAATATATTAAACATGAGAGAAAATTCTGAAAATAAATAAATTGGGGTTATAGAGGTAGTAGAAGTAATAATAATAATAGTCATAATTAAATGATTGAATTTTTATTCCAGTATCCACAATTGATCGCGATCATTGTATAATGCCTTAGCTATCAATAGCCACTTAGAATTGGAATATTATTACTATTAGTGGCTTTATTCAATATTATATTTTTGATAAAATATAGAATTCTCAGCACAAAATATTTCAAAATGTTTCCTTTTCTTATTTTGTTGATCGGTCCTGGTGATAAATATTGAGTGGTCGTCACTTAGATGTTAGCAGTTCAAGAATAGACATCTGAATACTTTTTATTCTTTTCAATGCATATTGCTGGCAACCATGATGTCTCTGATTAAGCTCTTATGTAACTTGTACAGCGAAATGTTGTAAACGTTTCACAAACATACATGAATAGGTTATGCGGTTAATAAGCATGATGATGTGTTAAAACATACAAGGAAACAGATAACTTATTGAAATATCTAGATGGCAGGAAACAGGTAGCCCACATATTCAAGCAGGCTGCCTTGATTGTAATAAAATGGTTACAAAGTTATAAATCTTTAAGTAACCGAACTGCTTATTTTCTACTAATCTTGAGATATATAGCCATATCATTTCTAAAATTTGTCTGATGAACAATTTTTTTATGAGAAATGTTTGGATACAGATGAATAACAGAAAGCCATTTTATTTTCATTCGGAAACACTTCAATAGTTCATGTTCATAGTCTTATATTGGATAAAACGTCAATTAAAAGAATTTGTATGTTATTTGTTGATAAGATAGTTTTAAACATCATTTCTTGGTAGAATATAGAGATTGTATATTGTTGCTTGTATGTATTCCCCAATTTGAATATACAATTACGTATTAGTGTACGAAATTGTTACCTATTTAGTTTTTTTCTTTTAACAGTAATCAAAATCAAGAATGATTAGTCATAACACTAACTAATGATATAATTGAGAAAAAGTGATATTCAGACCGTGCCTTTTGGTGAGTAAAATACAAAGCCAATTGTTATTCCGATTGAATGTACAATCTAGACTAGCTATAATGTAAAACATTAATTTTGGAAGATCTCCTTTGAACTGAAATAACTCGATACATAGGATAAAATCAAGATAACATGTGAAAATTTGTTTATATGACCAAAATAAATCAAGATGACTTTCAACAATGACAGGTTTAAGGTCAACAAGAACCAATCAACATAAAGGTCTATAGGACAAACTGTGAGCCACATATGGAGAAATTCGAACACTTCACTTCTATCTGAAGTTTGTGCTGATGATGTCGTTCAGAAGGACGATGAAAGCTCCACGACCAAATCATCCAGCCCATGGAACAAAACTCTATCAAAATCATCCATCTAAGCTATAAATCTTCTTCACTATCTCAGAATTTCAATCAATCATTAGGTTATCAACAACTCATATCATGAAGACAAGTTTTAGACAGTGTAAAATCTAAATCCCATAATTAATATGTATAACTGATTAATTCAATTATTTAGTAGGATCGCAGCAACAACCAATAGTGTAATATTTCAGTACTTACTTTCGGTCGACATAGTGGTGGTGGTTTACGAACTTTACTCAATATTTCTGATGCACTTAATCCAAGCATTCCATAAGGTTCATCCCGTGTAATAATTTCTTGCATCACAATAGAAAATGAATAAACATCACCTTTCGGGCTGCCACTATAAATATTTGTTTCTTCTCGTAAATGTTCTGGTGCTGTCCATAACCATTCTGTATTTATTGTTTTAATAGAAGAAAAGGAAGCATATAGATTTAAATTAAATTTTAAGAAGGATTTCTGAAAAATATCGATGAGGGTTTCATAATGTCGTGAGTTGATTATATTTTGACATTACTACCGTTCGATTCCGGCTTAGTTGTCTTGAAGTTAAGAGCTCGTATGCGAGGTCGAATGTGCAGAATTCGATTCTTGGACGTTGGGTCGCAGATACCTACCATCGGAGAGTCCCATAATGAGACTAAAAATCCATCCAGTACTCCTAGATTTGAGTGGTTGTCTAATCAAAATAAGTTTGTGGTTTAAACTAAGAAAAATCTCGATTTTCAAATCTAGAGCCGATTCATTGTGTTTAACGATGATTGACTGGATGTACACACAAGCACGTTATTTGAACTGTAGATGGTTAAAGCTCAAGAAGCCTAGAAAGGAGGTTAACACATACACCTCTTGAGATCTTTAGCTGAATTTTATAAATAGTGTGAAAGGATTAATCGGAGACTGAATGTCATATGTTGATTATATGTTGCAGAATCGATGACTTAATACACACTGGAAGATCCTTCCGAATGCGATGAAGTAGCAGTCTCTAATAACGACCTATGTCCCTAGCTTCATGAGAGCAGGTGAATTGTTATAAACACATTATATGAGCCAGTCTTAGAAAATTATCTTCGTATCAGATAACAAAAGAAAGTGACTGTATTATTTTATATAGAGGTTTTCTGAGTTAGATATTTTTCTAATCGAGCTCTTTAAAAATATCTCCCCTAAACTGTAATTTTCTAAACAGTGATTACTCTTGAAAAGTGGATTTAGTTTATGAAGGCTGCCCATAATATCACGAGCATAAGCAATGAATGAGATTTCGTTTTTTTAGTTATTGGGATTCAACTGTAAAACGTCCATCTCATAAATGTTTTCTATATATAGATCTTCGTGTCAATCCGTTATTTCCTTTAGTAGATAGGATATAAAATTGGGAGTTTTCGATAAAATTCCTGTCACACTGTGAATTAAGGTAATAAATGAGAGTTATTAGGAGTGTATGGGATATCTTGGATATCAGATTTCTCATCGTATATAATCGGTGTGTCAGCGCAGTTTACAGATTTTCGTGTAGTGTCCCTTGATATTCTACGTCCACACAGTTTATTCTAGCCTCTGGATAGGCCAATCTATCCATTCTTCTTAAGTCACGTTTTGATCTTGTTAATTAATCACTTATGAGCCCTGACTGTTTTTATATGAGCGTATCTGTGTGTATATCTTATCTTACTCATCACATTTCTGTAACCTTTTTTCTGACTATAAACGTCAAGTCACTCTTGAGTAAGACGAGTTGGCTTACATAGCGTATCCTCGGTGCGCCATTTCGCTTCGTTCTTCTAAATGTCTATCCAGGTCAATGAGTGTACTAAATAAACGTATTCAAACCTCATTCTCTCATTCGACATATTTAATTCCATTATTCACTAACATGATTTAAGTCAATAATTATGTATGAGGATTGGTAACGCATTTATATTTCGATAACAGTCATTCATACGATCATCATATGATCAAAATAGAGTCAAATACACGAGGGTCAATAAAACTCTTTAACACATATGTACATGATATGATTGTACAGCTTTTAAAATGAACTCGTTACTAAGGTATTTTTCCCTGAATATTTGATTATAATTCTAAATCTATTCAGGAGTTAGATTTCTGTAATGAATTAATGATTAAAAGTTTGAATGTAAAATCTAATAGACAGAACGGTCTAAGATAATTTAATGGAAAACTCATTTGACAAGAATAAAATTGGTTAACTAACTATTATTATTTCTATAAAAAAATATGCATTTAATAATATACATTTGATCAATGATTCTGATCTTTGACGTCGAGTCAGCTTAGATCAATCCGCTAACCTTTAGTGACTTCAATAATTTTAATAAATCATTTGTTTCTTCTTAATACATTTAAATTAATAATTATTGGCGAGACTATAAGTTGTGAATGAACCAATCAGATATAAGGTAGCAAATCTAGGATTTTGGTACGAAATTCCCTCATCCATTTGGCTAAATAGAGTTTTGGCATTATAGTTGATGTTAGTTCGTGATGAAAACCTTATATCTAATATATAACCTTAATCATCAATTGTAACACTCAGTTGATACTGGATATTAGGTGAACACTCTCAAAGTCAGTCTAGTGTCGCTCAAAGATCGTTCATAAATTATAGTCTCATCTAATTATTTTGATAATATTATTTAACAGATTATAACAAGTATCGATGTATATAAATAAAAAAAATTCTTAGAGAGGAAGAATGTATTTGTAAAATTTCAGCGAATGAATTTGAAGTAAATCCATACATTCTTCCTCTTTGATGTCTCACATCAATTCGGCACCCAAATACTGTGAAACTATTCGATTAAATTTAGACAGACGTAAGTTCTTATTTAAGCAAATTCTTATTGTGACATCAGTTAAATAATCATTTGATAATAAAATATTAAATAAACTTTATTGTCATACCTTCATCTTTCATCTTTCGATTAGTACCATAAATACTGAAAATTTCTGTTAATCCATAATCGGTTATTTTTACAACCCATCGACCATCTACACAACAATTTGTAGATTTAAGCCAACCATGTTTTTTAATTGGAGATGAATGAATATATCTCATACCCTTTTGAATATATAAATAAATATATTTATTTATGAAACAGACCATTTGCTATACAATTGATGTTATTATCAGAATGTGTTTTGTGGAGATTTTTTAGAAATTTTCACAGATTGAACTCATGAGTCAGTTGAAGCTAGACCACCATTGAAAACCTGGTCTAGCTTCAACTGACTCATGAGTTCAATCTGTGACAATTGATGTTGTTCAAATTGTAACTTTAATATATTGTAAGTATTGTTTAGATGTATATGTATAGTATGAATACAAATCATTTCAAGAATACTCTAATACATCAATAAAGCAATTGTACTTTGATTATTGTTATGACCTTGGATGTCTTGTTTTGCTACCACGCGACCTATCGACCAATCCGGATACGACTTATGCGGATCTTTACACTAGGCCAACCAATGACGTTCAACCGGTGTGGGCAGTTTAGCGTCCTTATTGGTCCTATGTCCTACGAGCCCTTCCACTTGAGTCCAGAACAAGATACCAGCTTCCGAATCAGAGCAGATCGTTTATTTCAACCATACTCGGTTTATATATCAACCAGACAGACCACAACGCACCATAAATTAGAAAATAACATGTGTACACAAATAAGCCAAAAAGTGGCTGTGCACGAGGGGGACAGTGAATAATAGACTGAGCATAGATTAAGAACCGTAAATCGTATAATAATAAATTGTAGGTCAAAATAAAGCTTATAATAAGAGGAATATAAATATACGTAATGTAATTGTTGAATAATTATACAATAAGAATATTTATAGAATATTAGTCCATTAATAGTCCTCGGGAGTTACCTGTAATTTAATCTCCACTCGGATATAACAATTATAGAAAACAATAAAAAGTTACTTTAAATAACTGTTGAATGAATATTTTTTAAATGGTCATAGTAATTAATATGGAGGTTCCAGTGCTTCCAGGTTTTCCATGGTGTTCTATCATCAATTGACTCATAAATTGAACTATTAAATTACTTAAGTCTCCACAAAACCCTCTTCTGATAATAATCATTATGTGCTCACTAGTGACTGACTTCAAAAGGTACTTCCTGGAGTTCTAGTGAGAAGCAGTGGCTAGTGGAGTTTAACTAAGTCTGTCTTGAAATAGTAGCTCACTGAAGACAATGGCAGACAGTTGTGCAATATCGTGGAATGGTTGATGTTAGACACTAACAGCATTGGATGCCGGCACAGTGATTTAGATGTTTGCTCACGAAACCGATAGGGCCTGGGTTCAAATCTCGCAAGAAGGAAATGTGGATGCGCCCTCCTGAGGCTTCCCATAATAGAACGAAAGGGCTATCCAGTGCTTCCAGGTTTTCTATGATGGTTTCAGCCAGTCAATCAGCAACGTCGAAACAGGCACATGTGTGCATCGGTCTAAGTTGCCATACCTCATTAGCACGGCATGATGAACACCAGATTCATAAAAGTAGTCAATTCACTGGTGGTAATATATAAAAGAAGGACTGCATATAAAGAAATAGTACAGGAAGAAGGAATTAGTTGGTAGAAAGAGAGATATAAAGTAATTCTAATCTCATAGTTTAAGGGAAGACAGAGGGTGTTTACACCGGCACTATTGTGATCGATTCTGACGATTGTCACTCAGGGTCTCCAACCATTGGCTACAATAGTCACGAGGACCTCAACCAAGTAGTCTGCATCTACCAACTTGGCTAAGACTGGAAGTTAGTGGCTTCAAGTACTGGTTTAGCATCGTTTGAATCATGAATTCAACTATTAAATTAACATAGTGCTTGACAGTAAGATTGAAAGTTTCATTTTTAAAATATGTTCCTTATATTATTGTTAAGTATTCAAGAATCTTTAATGTAGGAACTGGAAAACTGTCATCGTTAGTTTATATGCAGAATATATTAAAACATTCAATTTTTACTGTTCTCATCAATTAAACAAAGATTTCTACTTTTAATCCCAAACTATAATATTCATTCTATTGACTTCATGATTATAATTCTTAAACTTCAGTTGATGTGCCATAATTAATGCCCCATACTTTGGTACGTGAATTAAGCTCCTAAGTTGTTTGATTTAAATAAGTTATCTTAATCATGCATTGGAAAGTATGTATGCATGCCATCAAGATTTCTGAGCATTCTTTTTGCAAGTTCTTGGTATATTTTACTTGACGATAGCAATGGAATTCAGAATGCGAGTTTTATTCACATATAATGACTTGTAATCAGTACTTGTTATCTCAAACCCCAACACATTATTATTTGATAATCTACTGAATCTGACATCTTCCATGGGTATTAAGATAGTAGTAAAAGTATTTAATTTTTCGTTATTACCATTCACAAAGGCATCGAATCAGTTTCTGTTAAAATCTGTGCAACATGAGCAGATTTCAAGCTCGAACTCTGCATGCTAAAATAATTCGTCCAACTTTTCATCGCTCCTTGGCTTTAATTCCCTTCTATAACATACAACTGTAAATATGAATGTATAGCTTAAGTTAATGATTTTGTTGGAGGAGTCCCATGCAGGACACGACGATCATCCAGTGCTCCCATGTTTGAAATGGTGGTTTAGCTCAGATCGCCTCGTGAATTCAACAATGTTATCAACAAGACAAGTGTAGGGCCGAATATTAAAAAATATATTCATAAAACTATAGTCATTCTAATAGTTAGATGTGTTTGTTTCAATGTGATCAACTTGGGTCAACTAAACTAAATATTATGTAGTAATCGTCAATCACAAAAACGTTTCGCTTGATCACATTATTCAAACCAGAGATCAATGACTTTTTAATTTGATGCAATCACTTGGTTTAACCACTGTTTTTCGTTCATTTTTTGGTATGACAATTATTTTGGTTGACAACAAATTTTACAAAGTAACTAATATTTGTGCACAAATAAAATGTCCAAAATATCACTCACTTTGACGACATCCGTTATTAAGGAAAGTTTAAATTCCCAATCTAAATTTATGGACTCTTTCTTGATTATATCCTTGAAAGAAAGAAAATAAACAGGATTCAATATTGGTATAGTATTATATTTGATAGTATAAAACCAAAATTTTTAACACAATAGATTAGGTAATTTTCTGAAATTTTTCTTAGCATTTTGCAAGTAAATATCTACATGACTTAAGGTTAGACGTCTTATAAACTATATACATACAAACATTATATATATTATGTTTATATGCATACTTTAGATGGATTTGTAAAAGAAAATTAAGTTATTATGGTATGTGCTGCTGATGTCGACAGATATAAGTAGTATATGTCATCAATCGAAAGTGAAATCTCTGAAAGCAGTATGTTAAGAAGATCAAAGAGAAGAGAACAAGGACAGAGAGTGATTGATATGAAAACTAAAGAACAGTCAAGTCTGAGACGATTGATTGACATTTGGCGAATGAAGTACTTACTGTATGGTTCTCAGATTTTACTAAGATATTTTGTAATTTTGTATTCAAATATATTCGATTATGCCTCATTTGTGTTCTCGTTCACTACATTATTACTACGGCTTTGATTGATATGAATAATATTTATTAAAAACTAGCAAACAATCTCATCAATAAATATCACACTGTTTATTACCAATGAATAATAATGATTAATTAGTAATCACCATTGGATGCTGGATCAGTGGTCCAGTAGGTTGAGCGTTCGCGCGCGAGACCGAAAGCCCTGGGTTTGAATCCCGTGAGCGGGATCGTGGATGCGCACTGCTGAGGGACCACACAATAGGACGGAACGGCCGTCCAGTGCTTCCAGGTTTCCAAAGGTGGTCTAACATTAATCGGTCCATGATCTCAATCAAAAAACATAATTAGTAATCTGTTAGTTTCTTCCCATGAAATATATAACTTACTAGCATTTCGATAACATTCATATACCTAGAGTTTACAAGAGGATGAAAATTGCCGGTCATAACTTATATTTCATGGTTTTATTCATTGAAAGCTATTTATTCATGATTTATTATGTGATCATTCAGTTTTTACACTGAATAATGATACTATCCTTATTCAATACTTTATGTCTCATTACAATAAGAAATTGTTGTGATAAGTTCATTTTTCCTCATACATGTTGATTTTATTTGCATTATGTCTACACTGGATTTCCTATTGTAGATCGATTATGTCATGTTTTACCTAAATCCCAATGTAACTATATCGTATTCCATTGGAAGATAAACAAAGTAAAGTAACACATTTATAACTTTGGTTAAATTTTGAAATACTGAGCATCGAGATGGGTTTTATAGTTTTCTTAAAATATGTCAGTTAACTATGCGATTAATATACATAGAAAAATTTTAAAAAAATTATTATGATACTTGTACAGTTGGAAAATATGTGCCTTATTGGATTAAATATGCCATCAGGAAAATAATACTACGTATTTAGTAGAAAATCTTAAAACTGAGTACTGTAAGTACTGTAAGCCTCCAAATGCCCTGGTACGGCCGAGAGTGTGAAGAGTCCGCTCTTCCTCTCGATTTGCTCTCACATGGCCACGCGTATATAGCCTCTGCCAGGGAAGTCCTACTCACTGCCTTCTCTTGGCGGGGGTGTTGTTTACGAAACTGAGAGGACGAAAAGCGAATTTCTGGCGCTTTAACCGGGTTGGTGGACATGGAAAGTTCAACTAAGGGAGTTGGAAAACCCTGATTCCAAACCAATGGTCCACATGAACTTCAGTATCCTGAAGGAACAAATGCTGTATGAATCAATCGTTGGTCACCGGCTACCGTGGGAATGCATCTCCTTACGTTGCTCCACTGCCTTATGGATCAGACCTTCAGGTCGAAGGCTCCATGTGTAGTTTCCTACGAAAACCACCTGCTTCGGTTTGGGCATCTCAAATGAGGTCTGTGTGGCACATATGTATTTGGTGCCTCCTTGTACCAATATCTGTGTGTTAAAATAAAATAACTGTAAATATCATTGACATAATAATCTGCATATACAAACCAATTGTATCTTACTCCTTTGTGGCGCAAATAATAAAGTGAGCGATTATCAATCCTAATGGGTAAAGTTTAATTCTATTGACTGTTAAATGATGTATGAAGATCATTCTTTCATGTTGGTTTATGCCTTAAAATATGTCCCAATTTTGTTTACATTTAAATTTAATGTACACACATATGGTAACTGAGTTATATGTCAAGGATAACAAACTTTAGTGATCTATGACAGTGTATTGTTATCATTCATTATATTATATCTGTTAACTGGGTTTATCGTTCATTTTCTGATCAGAGCTTTTTCATTCGATACAACTATTATCATCTTGTTTTAACATAGAGGAAAGTTTGCTATTACCACAACATTATCAAGTAATTTTGATTTTATACGTTATGCGTTAAAATATTCATATATAAATATGTAGTAGCCCTGAGTATCTGACTTTAATTTGATCGTAAAAGTATCTTTATCGATTTATATACATGCCGCCAATCCTCACATGTAATTATCGACTTAACTTGCGTTCGTGTATAACGGAATTAAGTGAGTCGAATACGAGACTGAAGTATTTAATACGTATATTTTGTTCATTCAGCATTGATGATTAGAGACGTAGCGAATCGAAATAAATTGAAGAAGGTATGTTAACCGGCTTAATTTAAATAAGCGCTACTACAAAAAAGGCAATGTTAAGCGAAGGTAAATAATAAGATTCAAGCATACAGACATGATAGTGGTCATAATAATACAAAGAAATAGACAAATTGTTACCGTTCGAATAACACTGTCTGTAAAATAAGTTAATAGAAAGGCTTGACATAACAATCAACACTACAAATACATATTTTAAAACCGGAAAAACATTCTTTCTCATAAATTGTCATGAGAGTTTAAATTTACAGGTTTAAACCTCTTTTTAAAATCTGAGAAACACACCAAAAACTTCATTTGCAAAATGTCCATCAATCGTCTCAGACTTCATTGTTTCTTTGCTTCCACAGTAATCACTCCTGTTCTCGTTCTCTTTTCTTTGATCTTTTTAACCTTCTGCTTCAGACATTTTACTTTCGATTGATGATATATACTGCTTATATCTGTCGACATCAATATCGCACACAATATTGTCAGCTGTATGTTTCAACACCCCAATATGTTAATTTTCACAATTTAACTAAAACCCAGTGTTATTTGTTTTGAATACCGATGGGTTATCCACTGAAGTAGTGAATTCATTTAGCCAATGCTTTGTTCTTTAAATAATTATTAGTAAAAAGTTGAATTATTCTATAACTAATACTTACGATTGATGAAAAACGAGTCATAATCCGGTCATGAACACCAGCAACTTATACATGATAATTCTGAGTACCGGTTTTTACTTACAATCATAAATGTATCACCTGTATTCTAAGTGATCACTTGGTTTCGGACGTGGCTATTTTAATTTGGACTGTAAAATGTTGCATCAAAATAGGGATTTATTTGATTAAAAATAGTTTTACACCTAAATATGTGTATTTGTATCTATGTTTTCATATAATGGAAATTTTCAAAACAATTACACTGTTAATTATTCAGAGCAACGTAAGATAAATTTCCCGAAATATACAATACTTTGATTTATTTTTGTATTGGTTGCTTAAATGTTTCCATTGATGTTTAGGACTGCAATTGATCAGCCTCTTATTGGTATATGTTTATCCTGTGTGGATGGCTCGACATTGACTTCAGTCATAAGCATTATAAGGCAAGATGATAGCGGCTAGAAGTGTAATCCAGAACTTGCGTTTCGTTCTATTTAGGACTCATCAAATAGATGTATCTGCATCCCAGAGTTGATGTTCACTCCAGAATTCGAACGCGCGTCCCAGATTCCACTGTTAGCCACTATCATCTCAGCTTATATACAAAACTTTGTCTAAACCAAATATACGAAAGAGGTAAAAAAAAAGATTCGACTTGTAAGAAATTTTTTTAAATACTTTTAAACTAAATACTTCAATTTATTCAAATGAATGCTGCCTAAGACATTGAAAGGGGAAGAACACAGATAGAGTAAAAGAAACAATGTTCTTTCTTTTTTTGGGGGGGGGGGGAGTGTATTTTCACTTATTTAAAGGAAACAATACAAGTCATCATTATGTGTTAAACTACTTTCTTATATGTCACTTATTGGTTGAAATCTATTCAAACAAAAGATTTTCTCCTGTAAATATTTATGTAGATATTTCTTTAAATCACGAAAGAAACTAAATTTTCAGCAACAAAAAACAACAACACGCCTGTGTTTTAAATGTAATTGAAGGGGAAGTAATGCCTAACTACTATTATTTTATTATTACATGATTGAATGGTAATCACACAGAGATTTTTAAAAAGAAAAAAATTGTTTTTTATTTCATTGATGAAATTACTCATTTAAAACAGGAGAAGAGATGTTCAATATCTTCTGAATAAAAAAACGAGAACACCAAGAACATCAGCAACAACAACAGCAACTACTACTACTACTACAAATGTTGCCAATTCTATATTCGAATAATTACGTTATCCAATATATTGAAAATAGAAAAGAAACAAACAAAACATAACTGGAAAATATATATTGATGCGAATAATAACTATAGTAAACAAGTCTCATTATCACTGTAAACGTTGTTATAGATACAAGGCGTGGTGAATTATTCCAATAGAATGTATATAGTATTTGCCTATGCTAAATTGTTTGCATAAATGTATATTATTATCGAATATTATATATATATATATATATATATATATATATATATATATAATTCGCGTGTTTATCAAACTGAATAAACAATTAGTTGTAACCTTAACTGTAAAGTTCAGCATTTCAAAGTTAAAAAAAAAGAAGAATACAGTTTCAGGTGTGTTTCTGTCTTTTAAAATATTCTTTATTGCATGTATAAAACAAAAAAGGTCTTGAGACAAATTCAAAGGGTATGACATATAGTGATAGATAACTTCATAGAAATATGACTGAATATTGATAGAATATTTGGGTAAGAGACAAATGTTTCATTATCCCTTATAATTTTTGTTTGTTTCTGAATTGTAATTTATTTATTCTAGGATGAATTTACTTCATTAACTCAAGTTGGTTCACCTTAAATAGTATAGTAAAGATGAAAGACAATTCAGCAAAGAAAATTCTCTTTACGACGATAACATTTATTTAAATTGTACAGTCGTAATATAGTTTACTAGCATAGGGGTTGTGAAGATTATTAAGTTTTTGATTGAGATCATCAACCGATTGATGTGAGAAAATTCTCGGAGTTCTGGTGAGAAGCCGTGATCAGTGGAGCTAATCCGTGTCGGGTAGAAACAGGTGTCTACCTCAGTACAATGGAAGATGGTCGCGCAACTTCGTGGACTGGTTGAGGTTCGACATTAACACCATTGGATGCCGGCTCAGTGGTCCTGTTAGGTTAAGCGTTCGCGCGCGAGACCGAAAGCCCTGGGTTCGTGGATGCGCGCAGCTGAGGAGTCCCACAATAGGATGAAACGGCCAACCAGTGCCTCTAGGTTTCCAAAGGTGGTCTAACATCAATCGGTTCACGATCTCAATCAAAAATGTAATATAGTTTATTAACAAATAAAGTAGTTTATTGAAAAGAAAATAAGAGAGTTACATGATTTCAGGTATCAAAATTGTGTTGTATAATGATCGAGAACATAATCGAAGGGAATAAGATAAGACTAAATGTATAAAAAAACAATTAACCACTTGACTAGTATGAAAAAGTTGCAAAATAAACTGAATACATGAATGTAATTATAACGAATAATTAAAAATTAAAGGACTAAAACAACATAAAGTTAGGCATTAACATCTTTGAATCCCGGATCAGTGGTTTAGAGATGAGAGGTAGGTACTTGGTTCGATTGTGGATGCGCACTGCTGAAGAGTCTCATACTAGGACGAAACGGCCGTCTAGTGCTTCCAGGTTTTCAGTGGTGTTCTAACGTTGATCGATTCATGATCTCAAACAAAACTCAATGATCTTTACAACTCTATGGTGGTAATCATAATGATGTGTTAACTACCAAATTACTGTTATAAAAATTAAGTATCAGGGTTATGGAAGAATGATGAAGTACTACTACGAACGTGTTTTAAAATTGTTGAAAAAGAGTATTATTTTTAATTATTTGTTTGAAAGGTTTGTGAATTTGATGTGGTATTATCTTGCCTTCTCTCTTCATCGTAATATATTCAACTATTCGTACTCTGTTGTTTGAAAATAAGATCGTTTCAAGACGGTTTGTTATGTGATGATGAAACATTTAATAACGTCTCTCTAACATCAAGTCCTTGCATTTTTTATTACCATCCATCATTATGAATTATATATACTACACATTATATGATTTCAAAGGGAGTTTTACTGCAAACGGACAAATACTGAGGAGGTTATAAATGCTGTTTCATCTTGGTTTGTACATGTGTATTATGTTAAACAAAGCAGTCAGACCCATTGTCTTCAAATGTTGTTGGAAACAAAATATCACTGAGATTTTGAGTCGCAACCTCACAACTCCTATTTTAATTTCATACAGTTTACTGCGCAAAGTTAATTAAATGATAGAAATCTTTTACAAGAGATGGATTATTTATGATCGCATAAGTAAATCGAATATATTTGCTGATTTAAATCAAATGAATGACGTGTCTTACAAGGCTATTCGATTAATTTTCGGAAAAGCATTTACTTGGTAGTCGTTTTTTTTATTTGATCTTAACTAAGCTAACACTCGATAGCTTGAATTTGCAGTTCTCATAGTTGTCACCAAACACATTATCAGTAAATGATGTGTAATGGATCTGTGGAAAATGTCCTCTTGATAGCATTATGTTATTTAACACCTATTAATGTGAATGATGATATCGGTCACCTGAATATTTAGATTACTTACATGGTTAGTCAACTGATATCCAAGCCTGGCAGGTTGATACTAAGGTTGGATTGGTGACATTAGTTTTGTTTTACGTTGAGTTTACTGAAAAATGCTACCATTTTAGTTTTAAGTCAAGGATTATATCATGAAGATATTGAGAATTTTTGTATTTCACTACCTTAAACTGCAGTGAAAATCAAAACATCACATATAACATCCTTTAAATTTTGAAAAAATTGTTTATAAGTTTCAGGATAAAATGTACATTGAGTTGCATGAATAAAATATGAGGATGGAAATGATCGTAGTTCTGTTACCCAGGCAACATGAAACTGAATATTTATCCATAGCGAACTGATTACGATAGATAAAAAGGGATAATTTACATGTACCAACATTTCATCATGCATCACATCATGAAAAACTACATTGAATGAAGCAGGTATTGAAAATCGCTTATATAAAAAATCTTGAAAAGCAGTTAGGCCCATAAAACTATCTCGTCCATATACTGATATAGTTTAAGATTGAACACCATTTCAGTACACTGTAAAATCATCTGATAAGATGGTGGTTGGAGGTAGTCAACAGGAAACCCTGGACCGAGGTTTCGTGCTATTTGGCACTCGTCAGCAAGGGGTACCTGTAATCTTAAAGAAACTGATTATCGGTAATCTGATAATAGTCCAAGCAATGTCGAGTCACCTAGACTATTGGCTACGTTGTAACTTGATCGATAGGATCGATCTGCACTAAGAAGAACCTGACATACATGGCATGATCACCACCCAGTGATCAATCATCTGAAAAGACACTTAAATGATTTTAATGTAATAATTTAGCCATTTTAATGACTTCAAGTCCTTTTTTCTTTTCTTTCTAAATAAATGTGGCAATCAAAACAATATCATTCCGGAGAAGAAGCAAATCAAACTAGTCAAAAAAAATAATTCACTCACTTTTAAACTTCCTCTTGTACAATGATCAAATACCAGGCATAATGCACTAATATCAACATAACAACCAATCAATGGATTGACATTTTCATTACGGATCTCTCTTAACAAACGTACATGATCTAAAAATTTTCTCTTTAATGCAGCATTATTCAATTCTAAACGTTTTATATAAATTAAACCATTCTGTAATATAGTTGATAGGAAAAGAAAAAAAAGGGAGGAAAACAAAGAAAAACAATCACGATAATATTGATTGAGAAGTTGATTGGTGTAGCATATTACACAACAAGTTTCAGTTTTGTACAAAGAAAACTATTTTTGTATATTAAAGTTTGGTTTATTATTGATCTTATTTGGATTGTCGAGTTAATTGATGAAATACTATGGTGACTTCAGCGGTAAAACCATATAGGTGCAGTCATAAAATCTCAATTGTATTGAATTAAAAAGAAAGAAAGAATCAGTGGCTAACTTATTAATTTTTAGTAGCTCGAGATCTGACTCCGAGTTGATCATTTCTCATTGTTATTGAGATATATAATCGTCAACTTAAATCGCTTTAGTGAATAACGGAATTAAAAAGTCGAATACGAGAATGGATTTCGAATACGTATATTTCATACAATGGTTGATCAGAAGGTGAAGCAGAGCAAAATGATGCGCATCGGAGATGGCGTGTAAGCCAACTCAATTTAGGCGATCGTGAATCGATATTTACAGTCAAAAAAAGTAAAGAAGTGCACACAAATACGCTCATATAAAAACAGTCAAGCTTCATAAGCGAATAATTGTTAAGGTTAAAATGTGACTCAAGAAGAATGAATAAATTAGCCTGTCCAGAAGGTAGAATAAGCTAGGTGGGCTTAACACGGCTACGGACACTACAAATTCTCATTGTTTTATAAATATAAGGAAAATGCAACTTTTTGTATGTATAAAATGTTTAATGAGGCTGTTACGGTTATGAGTTATCTAACAGTTAACATATGAATAGTTATGTTTCTAGTTATAAAATTGATTTCTAAAGCTTAGCAGAGAGAGCTAAAAGTCATTGACCTATATCTTATTGCTCCAGCTTTCGATATTATACAGATGTTGTTGAAACCTTGATAGATCAAGTTTATTCAATAGACATAAACATAGAAAAACTTGTATTTTTCATAGTTGAACTCACGAAGTGTTCTTAGGTAGACAAACATCGAAAGCCTTAAAGCTCTACATGGTCGATTCGTTCTAGTTTGTGACTCCCTAATAGTGACTACTCACTACCTCGCACCCGAGAATTGAACCTAGGACCTTCAGTCTAGAGTGCGAACTCTTAACCTCTTGACCACGGAGCCGACGTACGACTGTGTTAATGTCTAATTTCAATTAGTTCCTGATATTCCACAACATCCATTCATTGCCTGGATGGATAACACGTACGGTCACGAATTCTCACTAGAACTACAAGAGTTGCACCTCAAATCTAGTCATCAGTGTGTAGATGATTATTGTAAATATGGGTGATTTGTAGAGATCGTAGAGGAGTCCCATTCCTTGATGAAACGTCATCCACTGCCCCTGAGTTTTTGCTTGTGGTATAGCTAAGGTAAGTTCGTGATTTCAACTAGGAAAATCCTAAAGTATTCATAAATCCTGTATATCGATAGATCTGTATCTGTTTATTATACTACTAGGATTAATAGTTAATTATTTTGAAGGAATCTAATATTAATTTGTCAAAGTTGACTCTAACTGAAATGAACGTAGTCACTATCTTGTTCAATTTAGTAAGTATGTTCAAAAGTATTTGGTGTTGGGATTGTTAGTAGCCATTTTTACTTGTCATTTGACTTCAGTTGCGGTTTGGCTGGAAACTAGGAAGCTATGGATAGATGTGTCCTCTTGGCAAAACATCACTAATAGTATGTGTCCACGACTCAGTGACCTTAACATTTTACGTTAAGTAATTTACGGTTAGTCCACTGCATCAGAATCCGATATTTTTTGACATCGATAAATAGAATCAATTAAAGTTATGGCTGAACGAGCATCGAATCCCATTGGGATTATGAGTGTAATAAAAGATTCATAGTAATCTATCAGATTTCAAATTATATAAAAACATTTGAATATTTAAGTACTTACACTATAACGTGCAACATTTGTATCTTCAATTCCATCACCACTCATAACTGACACCAATGATCTTGCTTGATTGTCTATTTTACCTTGATTTATATGACTGGTTGTTGATCCATTAAGTTTTGTTTCACTAGTCATTGTTGGAAAACGTAGATCAACATTACTCTGTGGTTGTTAATTTTTTATTGCAAAAAATGAGATAATCAGTAAAGTACAAACAATTAATTACAATCAATATACATGTAAACGAGTTTAAATTATGTACATTTCGATAGTTTACATGTACGATGCAACTTGATTTATAGATTGTATGATAGTTATCATGAAGTAAACGGTAAATATAATAACAAATAACTAATCATACAATAATTGCTATGTTATACTTTTCTACCTTGTATATATTTTATATAATACAATCATTAGTCAATCAAGAAATCTCTCTTTTGACTGGAAGCATGACTAGTTTTTCAACCGCTAACTTTATATGTAAATGTAAACTAATTCAAATTAACATTATTCATATTATCAGTAGACGTTAGGTTTTGATTGAGATCATGAACCGATTAATGTCAGACCACCATTGAAAACCTGGAAGCACTGGACGGCCGTCTCGTCCTGTTGTGGGACTCCTCAGCAGTGCGCGTCCACGATCCCGTTCACGGGGTTCGAGCCCAGGGCCTTCGGTCTCGCGCGCGAACGCTTAAGCTACTCGGTCATATTGTTTATTTTCGTATTGTCTATATTCAACAAAATATTCTGACAGTGTATTGTTACCATATATTAGATAAATGAGTTATATAAACTTATATCCGTTTGTTTGTATGTCTGAAAACTTGATTGCTTACTTTAAAACAATTAGCCCCTTTGATAAATTTCGATAACGCAATGAGATGAAGTTTATCAGAATTATGTGATATATTTGCGTAATACATTTCGAACAATCTGATCACACATATACTTGTTAAGACATTTTTATATGAAAATTAAAAAGTCAACTAGACAGGTTGACGGTAAGCCGTGACAAAGAAGAAAGTACACAAAAACAATGTGATAACCACTCTGGATAATAAATCGGTGTTACCAGGGTAGGTTGAGTGTAAGGACATATTGCTTTTGGACGCATAAAGGGGGTCTCAATTTCCGTATAACCAGGGCTTCAATAAACCTTAGTATACGTCCTTGAAGGCTATTGTACAACACAACAAATGCCGACTTGATGTCAACCTTATGACCAGTCTCAATCAAATGTTTCGCAATGGAGGATGATGTCTATCCTATGATCTTATCTGACCATTGGAATCCATTTGTTTCTGCAGCCATTTTGGTGTGCGTTCACCCGCCCTTAATTGCAAATCACGATTGCCCCTCCTTATGTACGTGTTCCTGCACATAAATGCAAATTGATAGACACAATGGAATGTTACACAACCGCTTTTGTGCTGTTTGGGCTTTTGGTGAAGCATAGACCTTGTCTTTTTGATAATGATATGTGTGATCAGATTGTTCGAAATGTATTGCGCATATATATCACATAATTCTGATAAACTTTGTCTTCTCATTCCATTATCGAGAATACTTACTTGCTTGATTCTCGCTTTTGAATTTGCCAGCTACATAAAATGCTATTTCCTAATATTCACATCAATTTCTTTATATAACTCTATCCGATGATTGATGTATGAAAACTTAATTATTATTGATTTATGCAATGCTGATTAAATCCTTAAATTTAGATTATAATATACAGTTAACTTTTATTACAAGATGAATCATGAAATTTATCGAAATTCGGATATCTGACCGCAATTTTTCCATATCTGTGGGATATGGGTTTATATCTAACAGACTAGAAACATTTGTTGACACACAACTATTAAAAAAAATTATAATAAACATTAGTACAGGGTGTAGGGACATTAATTTTTAAATACAGGATGGCCGAAGCTGAACACATAATAATTGAAAAGACTTACATTAGTCGTTGAACACTTGGAGATCAGGAAAATTCAACGTGGGAACACTTAATCGGGACATCATGGCCTGGTCATAAAGGTGCTTTAGATCTAAGTAACCGTTCGCTTTTATATTGAATATATCAATGTTTTACAACTATGAACATATTTCGTAATGGTTCTTGAAGGCAACATTACTGACTATCATGATAGGACGATTCATTATAGATAACGACGTGACTTCAATATAGTTATGGTTTACTGCAAAGTTACTGAGATATAAGCGTGTATCCAGTGTTTTGCCAGGGAACATACGTAAATATTTCATAATAAAATGGATTTTATCATTCACTATCACTTTATTATTGACAACTCAATCAGTATTTCAGTAAATATACATTGGCGAACTAAAGTACTAAACGTTTCAGATAGAAGAAAGTCAACTGATTGTTATATGACGTAACGAATGAAGTTCATCATGAAGTGACAATTATTACATGGAAAAATTTTTACGAACTACTTGCACAAATATTCAATCGATCGTAATGAAATTGCAATTGAGTCTATCAATATAAAGCAATATAAAGCTTGACATATGACCAATACTTTAGATAATCACAGTTGACTGTAAAACATTGAAGACTAATGCATCTCACATAAAAATACATTCATGCAATGATATTTTAAAATATAAATCATATGACTTACTGGTGTAGTATGTTTAACTGTTTTTTGAGTTTTCATGAATACAACATCATCTGGATAAAGAATTAGTTTATTAGGTCCTTCACGATACATTTTCCGTCGTCGATAACATCTGGAAATTATGAGGTACAATTATTAGAGGGTTTCTTTTAATTGAAATATCCATTTATTAATTAGTATCATTTACTTATAGTTTAGATTTATTCTAATGCAGATCAATATGGATTTATAGTTTAAATGATTATTTACTCAAAATGGTAACTTAAATTTATGGCTTCTAGTTAATGAATAAAGAAAACAATAAACCTCCCTTTTCATGATAGTTAGATAATGGAACCCTGAAAATGGCCACAATTGATGCTAATAACTTTATAGATATCTCTGATCCATGGTATTTTGAAGAATATATGAAAATAAAATAAGAATTACTGAATGAAATACAGCACATAATCTTCGGCTAAATAAAGTATGTAAAGTATTATTTTCGAGTGGGAACGTAACATTTATAGACTGGTGAATTCAATTTCATTTCTGAGTCAAATCATTCTCAACCAAGTATAGTGAGAAACAAATTTGTTGATTGTTATAATTGTTATAATTGTGTATTTATTGAAGACAAAAGTCAAGACATCCGAAACCTTGGTTTCATACTAACTTGCTGCCGATAGAAACACGTGTCAGAAACATGGATTGAACTTAATGCTTCAGTAAGATTTAACCCCATCTCATTCAGCGTTACAGTCATAGTTCCTGCTACTAAACCATTCAGACACAGATTGACCTAGGATATTTAGTTATTTAGTCTTAAGTACGTACCGAATTCTATAGATCAACACTAAGTACAAGAAAGCATTGTTCTGATTACTACTTGGTAATCAGTTGGTATCTCATCGATATGGAGTTATGGAGATTGTTGAGTCTAAACTAAGATCATGAACCGATCAACGTTTGACTGCCATTGAAAACCTGAAAGCGCTCGACGGACGTTCCGTCCCAATATGGTATTATTTAGTAGTACGCATCCATGTTCCTGCACACGACATCCGAACTCAAGAACTTTGGTCTCGCGCGCGAATGCTTAACCTCTAGACCATTAATCTGGGATCCAACGGTGTTAATGTCTAATTATAATCAATCAACGCTATTGTGTGACTATCTTCGATTGTCTTCCATGGGTAACTGTCTCACACCCTACACAGTTGAACTCCAATGATCATGGCTTCTCACTAGAACTAGTAACTCCATTTGCTGATAAATTATTCTGTAACGCAATATTTTGCTTAGTTGAGCCTTCCTTTTCACATTTGATCATCGATGACCTTTACATCTGTAAATCCTCTCAGTCTATCACAATTGATCCATATTATAAAAATAATATAATAAAATGTATCTAATGAATGGAAATTTGAAACCAACAAGTGTGTATTAGAATGAACGGGTAAAAGAGAGAGAGAGAGAGATAAAGAGAGAAAGATAGGTAAACTATTGATAAACTTGAAAACAAAAGCATGCACTTTGTCGAAATAAAAGTTTTTTTTTGAAAGAATCAATTCGTATATAGAATAAAAGATCATGAGCACTTTTGTATTTATTTAATGTGCAGTAATAGTAGTTGTTGTTGTTTGGAATGATAAAAATAAAATTCAATTATTAAATAGAACAATAAGTGAAGAGCAGAAATTGGGACTAAACATAATTAAATATTAAATTTTTTTTTGAAAAAAACGTGGGGGGGGGAATGAAAAGGGAATTCTATTTCCAATGATCATATGAATTTCTGGCCTATTACTTTGTTTATCTGTCTGTCTGTCTGTTTGTTTGTTTGTAATTGTGCATGTTTCGAATCACCGTGGGAAACAATAAATGCTTCTAGGGTGTAACTATGCAAAAAAAGTAAATCAGTTAGGGTAATAAATAAATAAATAAAACTATTCGATCTGATTGTAGATTTTAAATGATTGTTGTATTTTGAAATTTATTTGTTAAATATATATCCATTGTGCTTTATGAGAAAAGAACTAAAGTTTTCCGTTAATAATCATGATAAAATTGTTAATCCATATTATTAATGATACGATTAATAGTACTTTTAATGAATACTATATTCTGAAAATTTATTACTCACATCTTACCAACAAGGTATTGAAAAGTGATAACACAACTTTTCGATTGAGATCATGATAGATTGATGTTAGAACAATATTGAAAACCCGGAAGTAGTGAGCGGTCGTTTCATCCTATTGTGGGACTCCTCAGCAGTGCGCATCCACGATCCCACTCACAGGATTCGAACATAGGGCCTTCAGTTTAGAGTGCAAATGTTTAACCTATAGAGCACTGAATCGACATGAGACGGTGTTATTGTCTAACCTCAAAGATACCTGACTCTACCCGACACGGATTGGCTTCACCGGTCACGGCTTCTCACTAGAACCCCGAGAATTCCCTCACGAGCAGAATCGTGGGTGCGCACTGGTCAGGAGTCCCGCAATAGGACAAAACGGCCATCCAGTGCTTCCAGGTTTTCAATATTGGTCTTACATCAGTATGTTCATGATCTCAACCGAAAACTTAAAAATCTCCACAACCCTATACTGATAATACAATTGTTAATAATCTGTTATGCATTTAAGATCAAGATATACGACTATAATTATCATTGGTAGTCACTTTTTCACAAACAGTTTAATAACTGTTAAAGTTCTTGTCTGTACAGCTTGCTATAGTTTAAGTCAGAGTAATAAGAGGAAATTATCAAGATAAAAATAAAGGATACTTAAGTAATAATATCGATTATTACAAAAAATTTGAATGTGAAGTATAGCGGTATTATTGATAATAACAGTAGTAGTAGCTGTCAAAACACGATTTCAGAAAGAATAAATGTAATTGACGATAAAGAATCATAAGACAATTTTCAGAGCTAGAGGTGTAAATACTGCGTCAGTCTGAATTCCGAAGCTTTCCATTCCTTCAGTGACCAACTGAATTTCTTGGTCCAAACAATCTTGGAATTATTCCATCCAGAATTGTAAGTCGGAACATGCAGTGTCTAGACATCTGTAACAGTTGTTCTGACCACTTCGTTTGATGATGATTCATAAGACTAATGGTCAGCTATTTACAATTTTGGCCTAGTAATTTACAACTAATTCTGAGATTGTGGAGAAGATTTGTAGCTCAGGTGGATGATTTTGGTGGAGTTTTGTTCTCTGAGCTGGATGGTTTGGTCGTGGAGCTTTCATCAGCACAAACTTCAGATAGAAGTGAAGTGTTCGGATTTCCCCATATGTGTTTCACAGCATGTTCTGTGCACCTCGATGTTGATTGGTTCTTATTGACCTTAAATTTGTCATTGTTCACTTCTTTGTTTTGGCTGTGTCTCCCATTGTTTTGATTTTTGTTCTTATATTTATGCATGATTTTCCTGAGTGGTTGATAAATTGGATTGATTTCAATATGTTTGTTGATTGCTGATTGACCTGAGTGCCAGGCTTCTAAAAATTCTCTGGTGTTTTTGGAGTTTCCTCTGTCTAAGATTTCCACATTTTTCCAATCGAATGAGTGTCCGCAGTTGTCCACGTGTATTGATATAAGTGAGGAGATATCATGTCGTTTGACTGCTAATTGATGTTCATGTAGGCGAAGGTGAAGGGGGCGTCCGCTTTGTCCGATGTAGTGTTTTTCGCAGTTGGCACAATTTATTTTGTAGATGATGTTTGATTTGTTTTCCTTTGTTATTTCATCTTTTGGTTTGCATAGGATTGATTGTAATGATTTTGTTGGTTTGTGTGCCACACCTATTCCGAAGGTTTTGAGCAGTCTCGTTGCGGTTTCTGATATTCCTTGTATGTACGGTAGGGTGATCCTTTTGTTGATTTTTGTGCTTGACTTGAGTTCCGATGCTGCGTGCGGTTGGTATTTTTTTATGAAGTTGATTGGGTAACCGTTCTTTTGAAATACATCCTTCAGGTATTTCTCTTCATTTCTTCGTGCTGCCCGTGTGCTGCAGTGTGTCCTCGCCCTCTTGAACAAATTGTGTACGCAGTTGATTTTGTGAGCTCTTGGGTTGTTGGTATTGTAGTTGAGAATTTGATCTGTATGGGTCGGTTTCCTATATACTTGGTTTACCAGTTTTCCTGTGTCGGTTCTAGTGATCAATATATCCAAGAATGCTAGTTTGTTGTTTGACTCCTGTTCCATTGTGAACTCGATGTCATCGAAAACGTTGTTGATCAATTTGTAAGTGTTTTCTAGCTCATTCTTTTTGACGATGACGAACGTGTGGTCTACATAGCAAATCCGAATTTTTGGTTTGATCACTGGTAAAATAGCGGCTTCTAGTCTTTGCATCACTGCCTCTGCGATCAATCCTGATCTTGGTGATCCCATTGGTGTTCCATTCGTTTGTTCGTAGATTTTGTTGTTGAATTGAAAATATGTTCCACTAGACTTTTAATTTGAAGCTTCGGGTATTTAGTGAGGTTTGTGTCGTTGTTGAGCAGAAGGGATATAGGTTCTTTTGCTAACTGTGGTTCAATTGAGGTGAATAGTGCTGTTACGTCGAAGGATATCATCAGTTCGTCGTTGTTGGTTTGGATGTCCTTAATTTGGTCCAGGAATTGTGTAGGGGATTTGATGGAGTGGTTGGCTGAATCTACTAAATGTCTCAGTATTCTTGAAATTTCTTTTGAAAAATTGTACGTTGGCATTCCGGGGAGTGCTACAATTGGACGTAGTGGGATGTTTGGTTTGTGTAATTTGGGTCTGCCGTAGAATCGAGGGAGTACTGGTCCGTTGGATTTCGTTCTCCAACTTCAACTAACTATCCTTGTACTCCCTTGACGATTCGCTACGTGGCCAGTGCCTAAAAGCATCAGTACAATCTTCATATTAGAAAATCTTCAAGTTATGTAGAACATAAAGTGACATTTTATATTCTCTGTTCTATAACCAGAAGGACTAGTCAACTATACCACGAAGACATGGTTTAGGAAAATGGCTAATAAGCAGGTTTAATCATTATTTATATCTGTTCAAATACTAACCAAACGGGTTTAAGGTGACTTTTCGGAAAAATAAATCAGTTTACATACTCATCTATTTCATTTCGTTTGGTCGAATCAGACAGCTCTACAATTAAGCGTTTTAATTAGATGAGAATAAATGAATTCTAAGCATTCTTGCACCTGCGTTGAAGCCATGCTAGTATTGTAATCAAAGAGAGCCATTCTATTTCCGTACTGTAAGTCAGTTAAAGTGTTTTATTTGACAAGCCAGGCCCAGAAGAATCAAATAAGAACGAATTTATTTGTGGAAGCATTTATGGGTAAATTCAATAAAAATAGGTAAGGTGACACTGCTTGCAGCAACATGTCCAAACGTCAGTTATTTATCCATTTTCACATTACCAGTAGTACTGGAGTAAAGACAGTCAGTGGCCTTTCAACATATTTGATATGCTTTTCTATGATAAATCTTCCTATTGAAGAATTCAATTATCATTTCCAAGTGAAAGAACATGGCTACAGTCGGACATTTACTTTGAATTTACTCGCTTATTATCATTATTTTATTATGAAATTAAATAATGTAGTGAACAATGAAAGATGAGCTATCAATGAGCGCTAATTTGGTCCAGTTGTTAAGTTTTCTACAACCAATATACATTACCATGACGTAAGTCGAACTCTGAACCATTGACATCTTCAGAGGAAATGACTTCTTTCAACCACTGGATTAGCTGACTTGAGATATAACTCATGCTGTTTACAGTGAAACGTTTTGGGTTTATAGGCATAAATTCCTTTTCAAGTTTTAAAAATCAAGAGAATAAATATTTCGTATTATTTCCAAGATATTTTGAAACTTTCTTAATTATTCTGAAGTACTGTATATATGTGCTAATGAGGTGTGGTAACTTGAACCGATGCATATAGATGCCTGGTCTTACATTGTAGCTGACCGACTGACTGATCTGTTGTATATTCAATTTATTCAATAACGGTTTTGTATAATGTTTGGTTATTTGTATCATCATCAACTGATCACTTGCCTAACCATTAAAAAAATGTTTCAGCGCTTAAATAGGATTACTTGATTTTCATATTGATCTTTCTATTTAACACTCAACAATTCCGAACAATCAATCTAAAGATGTTTAATTATAAGATTTCATTATCGTAGAACACTATTTAACAGTAGAATCCAAGATGAGAGTATTTTAATAGTCAAGACATGTTAACTAGATAAAATCATTTCAAATTATTACATTCATGAACTTGATTGTAGTGTTTAGAGTAGAAACATGGCCAATGTTTATCTAAGTTCAGTTTGTACACTGTGAATTATATCATTATATATGAATAATAAAACAAACTAAATATTGAAAATATAATCCAAATTAGTCTTCTTATGACAGGATTAAATGATTTTAAAACTAACCTTGCTAACAAGAAAGCAACTAATGAAAATGCTATTGTAGCGGTTAATACAGACATGAATATAAGAGCCATAACTATTCCATTATCTAAATAAATAAATAATTGAAAAAAAAGTAATGAAGAAAATATATTAAATGAACTAGATTATTCTTATTTGAAACTGAATATTTTTAAAATATAACTGCTGATACCTTAGTGTGGTGTGTGCTACTTATATTGACATAAGTGGTATATGATGTTAGCCGTGAACAGCAGAGAGACAAGACGGGCCTGATGCTGAGATGCCAGTTGGGGCAGTCTGGTGAGGAGAGGTGGCGTCAAGCGCATTGTTCTGGCCGGGCGGCGTTGACTGTAGCGGGTGCTGTCGACGGATATCGGATGTAGATGGCTCAGAAGGCCGATGGAGCATGAGTGTTAAGCGTCCTAGGTGCCAGTTAGATGTCGGATGTTGTTGCCTCGGCACGTTGATGGAGCTACGGAGGTCAGCGCGCCGCATACTCGGAGGGCGTAGCACAGACTGCAGAGACGAAGGATCTGGTACGGCGAGCATGAACCGCCGCAAGAACGACTGCTTTAAAGGGGGGACGAGTGTGATCTGTGCTACTTATATTGACATAAGTAGTATATGATGTTAGTCGTGAACAGAAGGTCTGGCAGAAGAGAGACAAGATGATCGAACAGTAAAGAACGGAAACAGGATGCAATTTGTATGAAAATGCAAGAACAATGAAGTCTGAGTCATTTTGAGACAATTGGTGGACATTTTGCAAATTAAGCATTTACTTTATGATTGCTAGATTTTATTGACAAGTCCTGTAATTTTGTGTTAAATTCATCCGATCGTCCGCACCCGTGTTCTGTTCACTACATTAGAACGAAAAGCGAATGTCCGGCACTTTAACTGGGTTAGTGGATGTAGAGGATCTACCTAGGATCGTTGGAAAACCCTGATTCCAAACCATTACAAAAAAATGCGGGAAATTTGCTAGAGTCGTACTTAGTATGTGCTATTGATGTCAAGAGTTATTAGTAGTATGTAACATCAATCGAAAGTGAAATGTCTCGAGGTAGAAGGTTAAAAAGATCGAAGAAAAAAGAACGAGGAAAGAAAATGATTGGTATGGAAACGAAAGAACATTCAAATCTGAGACATTTGATGAATATTTTTCGAGTGATCTATTTACTGAGTGGTTCTCAGATTTTACCAAGTGATTCTGTAAATTTATGTTCAAATACATTTGGTTATCTACACTTGTGTTTTCGTTCACTACAGTACTACAAATTGAACTTTACTGATAGTACTACAAAGCGAGTTTTCCATTAACTTAATCATTATGAATGAGATTGTAGAAAATTACATGTTTATATGTGTCGAGTAGAAAACATGGTCTAATGTCACATTATTTTATAGTTTACATCAAGAAATGAACCTTGTTAGATGACTTTTAATAACCGGGTATTAATAGACAGATGTTTTGAACTAATAATGAACGCGTCAGTAATGTGAATTAACGAACCCATCTGGGATTGGACCTAGAAACTTCAGGTCTTTTTGCAAGTGCCTAACCTTTAAACAAATGACACATCAACCATTAATTTATATGTCTGATTTCATTCAATATACATGGAAACGGTCATTTCGTGTATCAGATGTCTTTACTACGGTTTCGATGTTAGTAACTTCTACAAATTAAAAAAAAACTAGAATTTTATCTTTTTCTAAAGAAACGAACAAATTCAAACTTCATATACCAGCTACTTATTAGTTTTCAATAAATACATAATCGAAAGTAATTGATCATTCTAAATATTAGATTAGATAATTAGGAAAACTAGTGAATTCTCAAGCAAAGTACAAGTCAAACTGATCAAAGTCTTAAACACTATTCAAATAGAACTAATTAACTTGAATGCAGATTGAGAAATGTTACATTTCAACATCTAAACTTACTTGGAATACATTCTGTAATAGTTGTAGTTTGTTGTAATGTAGCATTTAATTGCCAATCACTTCTTAATACCATACTACTAACATTGTAATCAGGCCAAATCATTGATGAATATATCTCTAAACATATAGTATCATTAATAATATTGTTAGTTGTAGTATTAGTAGTATTCATTGATAAATTCGAACTATCGACATTACATGTGTATGCATTAATTAAATAAAATCTAATGCAGCTTGATTTTGTTCTGGATGTTCATGAAATGTTATAGCTAAACTTAAATCAGATTTTATTGGAATTTTCAATGTTGTATTCTTTAATGATGCATAGAAACCATTATTTCCTTGTAATTGTGATAATTGTTGTTCCCGTTCCTTTTGCTGTATATGATGTTTAAAATTACATATTGTCATGCCCAATGTTAATTTCATTGCTAAATAATCTTTCTGTTCACGGTACATGAAGAGAAAAAACAAAACTTTAAAGAATGAAGCTATCATGATTAAAATAAGGATTAATAATGAAAATGGAGTTAAAATTCGTAAAATTCTACTCAGAATTTATAATTTTAATAGTTGAATCCATGACTCAATTGAAACTAGACCACCATGGAAAACCTGGAAGCACTGGAAGGCCGTTTCATCCCATCGTAGAACTCCTCATCAATGCGGCCGTTCAATGTCCACAAAAAACCCCTTCTGATATCATACTTAATAGTTGGTCATACACTAAACATCACCTGATTGGTTTACCAATTATTGACATTTGTTCGATTTCATCGTTAATCGAAGTTCATCGGTATTCCTAGTCTGTTGTCTATGTGTATCCCATCATGAACTTGTTATATCCCGATGAGGATAATGAATGGTAACTTTTCGGATCTATTTATGGACCAATACTATACGTATATTTTTATCGTTTAATTGTTAAGTAACTAAACTATTTATATCGTGTTCCTTTATTTTGACCTATGGACTATTATTATACGATTTATCATTCTTGAGTTATGCCCTGTCTATTAATTACGACCTCCCACATTCACAATCTTTTTTAGCTAAATCTTGTACAAATGTTGTTTCCTATTTTATGGTACGATGTGGTCTGTTCGGCTGGTATATAAACTCAGTATGTTTGAAATAAATTATTCACATCGCAAAGGCTGAGATTGTTGTTCTAGAATTAACAGGCAGGGTTAGTTGAGAATCAAGATAAAATAACGTTCTCTGAGTTCAATGGTTTACCCGTAAAACTTTCATTCCTTTTCTAGGCAATTTTATTTTTAACACGAAATTTAAGATTAGTATAAACAATAAGAAGTTCTAAACAAATGAATGATGTTTTATTTTGTTATAACTGGATTTTATTGGGGTTTTCTTTTTTTTCTTTACAACATTAGTTCGTACTTAATTACTGATTATTGTGAACACAAACATTTATGATATCAGTCAGATAGTAATTAAGTAGTAAATATAAACAAAAACAATATTACGTCATAAATTACAAAATAGAAATGTTTCACAAAAAAATAATAAATACAAGTTATCTGAAAAAGTGTTTCATAGAGATTGTTAAGATTTTGATTGAGATCATGAACCGATTGATGTTAGACCACCGTTGGGAACCTGGAAGCAGTGGACGGCCGTTTCGTCCTATTGTGGAACTCCTCAGCAGTGCGCATCCACGATCCTGCCCGCATGATTCGAACCCAGGGCCTCCAGTCTCACGCGCGAACGCTTAACCTACTGGACCGCTGAGCCGGCATCCAATGGTGATAGTGTCTAACCTCAACCAATCCACGAAGTTGCGCGACCATCTTCCATTGTACTGAGGTAGACACCTGTTTCTACCCGACACGGATTAGCTCCACTGATCACGGCTTCTCACCAGAACTCCGAGAATTTTCTCACATCAGTCGGCTCATGATCTTAATCAAAAAAAATAATGTTAATAATTGAATATATGAGTCGATTTCTGCTAAACCATCATGGAAACCATGAAAGTACTAAGATGAAATGATTATTCACTACTTCCAGGTTTTCCACAATCATCTAGTTTAAATTGATTTACAAATTCAACGATTAAACAACAATTTACATTTAATATAATAAACAACGTTGTTTCATTTTGTTTTTTGCGTACCTGATTTAAATATTCATCAGTTAAATGTAATTTTGAACCATATGGATGAGATGTTAAAACAAATGCAGAATTTATCATTGTTAAATATTCATGATCAATATTTTGTATATTATTTCTCCATACTTTAAGTATATCATATGAGAATAATGTCATATCATAAGCAATGAACATAATTGTTTTTAATATATTCGGATTCCATTGATAAATATATTTTAATAATGTAGAATAGAATGAAAGTTGAGCAATTACAATACAAGCTAATTCATTTAAACAAAATTGGAGAAAAAAAGAATACAATCGAATATTAATTAGTGGAACAATATTTAAATGTCTTTTATACACACACACACACAAAGATTGTCATTACGTAGTAAATATAAAGTTGATTTTCACTGACAAGTGGAGTGAGTGATATTAGTAGGTATAGACTACCTGGTTGGGAACCGCGAGATGATAGCAACCGATGGTTAAAGACCTTGAATGACATGGCTGGAAATCGTTTGTAATGTAGTAGGTGCATCCACTCTTTGTTTTCGCCCAAATTCTAATCTCCTGAATCCTCCTTGTCTCTTTTTTTCTCTTTCCAAATTTATTTCACTGGATTATACTCTTTAAATAACATCTCCAAACCCTAATGTTTCTGGTTACTTCTTTTACTCTCACGGCCTCCATCACTACGAGATTTGAACCGACAACTGCATCTCTGTGCTAATGTGGTGTGGCAACTCGAACTAATGTACGTACGTACGAAGTTCTACGTTGTTACTGACTGACTGACGCATTTTTCAGTTACATTTAGTTACCTCATGTGTTTTTGTTTCTAGGTTAATCATATTACATATTTCATATTATGATGGAGTTTTGTTCTCTGAGCAAACGATCTCTCGACCAAACCATCCAGCCCAGAGAATAAAACTCAATCAAAATTATCCACCTGAGCTACAAGTCTTCACCATCTCATATATATAATAACGTATTAAGTAACAGAAAATCTTATGTAATATGAAATCACTGTTAGGAATATGAAAGTTTTGTATACTATAGGTATGTGCACACATTTCTTCAGAGATAGTAATAATCTTTCATCAAAGTATATATATATATATATATATATATATATGCTGGTTAACTACTATGTTCATTTTTTCATCATTTTTTTAGTCAGCTTGTTCAAAACCAACCTAAGCTATAAGCAAACTTTGATAAATTTCGATAGTGTGATAAGAAGAAGAAGATTATCAGAACTATGCGATATATTAGTGCAATACATTTCGAACAATCTGATCATACGCATAATGTACTTGATAAGAACATTTTTATATAAAAATCAAAGGTCAACTTGACTGGAAATGGGGAGGGGTAAGAGGAGACAAGAATAATAAAGAAAATAATGTGAAAACAGTTCGAGACCTCATTACTCGGGTTAATAAACTAATATTACCAGGATACGTTTAAAGTGAAAACAAACTGTTTTTGAATACACAAAGGGGGGTTGAATATTTGTATGGCTAAGGCTACAGTAAACCTTAGTTCGACTTGTATTGCGCTAATATATCATCACATCGTTCGTATTCTCTTTACGCTATCGCAATTTATCAAAGTGATTAATTGCTTCAAACTGTGATAAGTAATAATTTAAATTCGAAATAACAACCTTTTTTCGATTTATAATCAGAAGTACTAGGATGACGCTAGTAAGTGACATTGTGATAGAAAGTTTATTTTACATTCTGATACTAATTTAAATCAGTAAAAATATCAGAATCATATAGGTACAAATATTTTATCAGTATGAGATTGTTAAGTTTTCGATCGAGATGATGAATCGATCGATGTTAGACCATCATTGAAAACCTGGAAACACTGGACAGCTGTTTCGTCCTAATATGGAACTCCTCAGCAGTGAGTTTAAGCGCCAGACCAAAAACCCTAGGTTCCAGTCTTTTATGCAGGATCGTGAATGCACACTGTTGAGGAGTCGCATACTGGGACGAAATGGCCAATCAATGTTTCCAGGTTTACAATGGCGGTCTAACATTGATCCATTCATGATCTCAATCAAAAACATATCTTTTAATTTTATTGAACTATTCTAAGCTTAGGGTATACTTTGTGTAATTATGTACATTGATTCTTAGTAAAATAATATCAATAATAATAGAAAAAGAGATGTATCAACATCATTCTCAGAGTACCTTTATTCATTCAAAATGTTAATTTAAAAGAAAGTATTCTCATTATAATGGATTTTTACAATGAACAGTTATTGGTTATATAACATTCGTCGAATAAATATTTTAAAGAAATAAAATTTTTAACCGATGATGATTAAGAGATCCTTGAAACTGACTTAATTTTATAATTCCTTTAATTAAAAGCATTTACTTTATGATAATCACTTAAATATGTCAGGTGATCTGACATTTTTCTGTACTCTGAGAGATTTTATTCATAGTACTTTCAATAGTTGGGATCATGAGTCAATTCAAGCTAGACCACCATGGAAAACCTGAAAGCACTGGATGGCCGTTTCGTCCTATGGTGGGGCGCCTCAGCAGTGCGCATCCACGACCTCGCGTCGTGGTACTTTCATCACTAATTAAATTAATGTACACATAGGAAAATGGTGTGTTGTTATACTTTTACATGTTTTTGTTTCAGAATTTCTGTTTCATGCTCTTACTACTTTTTTTAATGTTCTTAGTCCAATCTATACAGATAGTAGAGGAAGAAAATCAGGGTATGTAGTAGACAGCTTTTGTCTGAACACTAAAACTAGTTTCTTTAAAGCTGGAGAATAAATGGAAATGGTATTGAACTAAGCTATTGATTGTATATATTAGAACAGTGATTTTTGGTTGCTTAATTCAAGGTCTGATTTATTTCTAATTAAATTCTGATTACTAGAAGATTACTTCATCATCGGTATGTTATTTTGATCTAGGTTTAATCACCTGAGATAACGTTCTCGTAAAGTTCGAGAATCATAATTATGTCCTTCATGTCTGAAAGTGAGTTTCTTGCGGTGGCTCATGAACGACTGATTCCCGTTACCGGAGTACTGAGTTTCAGAGAAAGCTGTTGATAAATCCAATATAAATTTTAGTCTCTACATTAGTTCAAGATCCAATGATTATTTGAAATCGGCTGGCCTTCTGTTCTTACTGCTGTAATTTGAAGGCTCAAAATAAAAGAAGAAATAAAGTTCAAAGCTTGTTTTCCCACTTTTCCTCAATTTGAAAATAGAAGAACATTGGAAATATAAAAGATTATAACAGTGAACGTTGATTTCACATCCAGTCTATAGCATTAAAGCATGTAACTAATTGCATATATGTTGATTATAAATTGTACCGACTGAATAAGAGATAAAGATGCAATTAATTGACTCAAATTATATTTCTTTGAGTATGTGTAGGTCTTTAACATCTGTAGGTTTTACTAGTTATATTAAAGCTATTTAAATCGGTGTATTTCGGGAAGCTATTCAGTAAAATTGTGGTTTTAAGTATGCTTTAAAGTGATCTGAATGACCGTTTATGACCATAATATCTGTGAGTTTACGGTATCGTGTTCATTATAAAAAGTCAATGTCTTACATGCAAACCTAAATGGGTTGATGTGTTAGCAATAAGCATAAAATTGAGGCAACAACAAAATGCCCGTTTACTGTTTCGCTTTTTTTACGAGTTCTTTCTTTGATACCGAACTGCAATAACAGCTAACTTCGGATTAACTTATAGTTTAATAGTTGAATTCATCAGTTGATTAAAGCTAACAACAATGGAAAACCTGGAAGCAGTGAACGGCCGTTCCGTCCTAATATAATACTAGTCAGCAGTGATCATTCACTTTCCCGCTCGCGAAATCAGAACCCAGGATCTTCAGTTTCACGTGAGAACCTCTGACCTGTAGACCATTGAGCCGGCATGCTGCAGTTTTAATGTCTAACTTCAACCGATCCAAGAAATTGCGCCACCAACCATTTCATCACAGACCTAGTTGAACTCTACTAGTCATGGCTTCTCACTAGAACTCCAGGAAATATCTCTTGGAGCCAGTCATTGCTGAGAAGTCACATATTGGGGCAAAACGACCATCCAGTACTTCAAGGTTTTACATATTGGTCTAGCTTTAATCAACTCATGAATCAAACTATTAAACTACTACAGTCTCAATAAAACGTCTTCTCCGATAACAGTCAGTCAACTTCGTCCGTACGTACGTACATCAGTTCGAGTTGTTATACCACATTAGCACACAGTTGCAGTTGTCAATTCAAATCCCACAGTGGTAGAGGTAGTAAAACTATAAGAAGTAATCGGAAACATTAGGGTTTGAAGATGTTATTCAATGAGTATAATCCAGTGAAATAAATTTGGAAAGAGAAAAAAAGAAAGTAACACGAAGAATTCAGAAGATTGGAACTTGGGAGAACACAACGAGTGGATGCACCTACGTCATTACAAACGATTTTCAGCCATGTCGATCAACGTCTCTAAGCATCGGTTGCTATCATCTCGCAGATCCTAACCACGTAGTCTACACCTACCAACATGACTCAGTCCACTTGTCAGTGACTTCATGGATTTTTGCCATGTTTGAATCTGGCCATCCCTAGCTTTCTTACAACCTACTCCTACACCATGAATCATTGCACGCCATGGCAGTCAGTGGTTGGACATAAGTAACACGTGTTCCAGACATCTCAACTGATCCCGTTTCGCTACTCCATCAATTGATTTGACATCCTCATCTGGTACCCGTTTCCTGACAGCTGCGTTACGTACTCGGTGGTCTTAAGATATATGAACAATGCTTCGAAGGCACCTATGATCAAATGCTAGTAACCTACGAATATCTTCCACTCTTACCGGCCATGTTTCACTGCCATAAAATAGGACAGAACGAACTGCCGCGCAGTAAACACGTCCTTTGGTTGATGGACGGACACCTCACCTACGCCATAAATGACGAAAGTTGGCAAAAGCTAGTCGAACCTTCTATATCCGTGCTGAGATTTTGTCACACATCAGACCACAAGATATGATGAGACTTCCGAGATAAGTGAATTGTTCGACACCTTCAACTACTTCACTCTCTATCATTAGTTCATGTGTCAATGCCATGTCAATACTCTTCTTCACTATAAAAATTAATTCAGTTATCATAACAAGAATAATAATACATTACCAGAATATTCTACATTTCCTATTTGTATAATATTTGATATATTCTTTTCAATATTCCATCCATAAATTGCTTTTACATTAATATTATGATTACTATCTTTCATTAATAGATAAGCTAAATCAATGGCAAATAATTGTGAAGGATCATTCACACTATTATCATTTTCATATAGAATTATTAGATTGAATCTATTTAAATAGTGTAAAATTTTAATTAATGCCATTGATATTTGATATTTATTAGCACCAATAGATAAACTACCAATATTGGTATAATCATATTCATATTGACTTGCATTATTATTATTATTATTATTATAACAATATAATGATGGATTTGATTGATATGTAATACTTCTACTTAATGGACATTGAAAACTTGTATGATATAGGTATGTTTTCAATGATTTAAAACAATCATTCATTGGTAACATAATTAATTGATTCATTTGATAACATAAATTAGGATGATATGGACCTATAATTACATTATAATCAATTTGATTTGATTTTATCATTTGAGCATATTGTTGAGCATTTCTATATAATGTTAACATATTCATATAGGTATTATTAGTTAATATACAATCAGATAATGGTATAATATATTGTTCAATATGATTATTACTATTATTAAATGCCCAATTATTTATTATTGGATGTATATTTAAATTCATTGTATCTTGAATACTGGCGGTAAAATTAAATAATCCATTAGATGATAAACAATTATCATTTGGTATTAAAATAAATAATCTTAAATAATGATAATAATAATAAGGATGTGGTTGACTCTGATTTTGTAATTGAGATAAAGAAAATAATAAAGAAGTATATATATAAAATATATAAATGATAAATTTCATTATTTGGAATTAGATATGTATGTATATATTACTTATTTCTTTGGAAGTAATAATAATAATGAATAATAGAATAATGAATTGTATTAATGATAATATAGGGATAATGAATAAGTTTTTAATATACAAATTCATGTCATTAATGATTGTTGTTACTATGCTCATAATTTATTGTTATCATTATTATTATTATTACGTAATGAACTGATGATCCATTTCAGAAAAGAAATCGAAAATTGTTTACCTCTCTCTCTCTCTCTTCATACGTCTATATACATAGATTGACTTTAATAAAAGGAGATCGGTTCCTCACCACTCAATCTGTGTAAATTGTATATATTGTTTTTTGTTTCTGTGTTAACAAATGTTATAATTACCGGTGTGATTACTGAAACAGTCTAATTAGACAATAAGATATCTGTTATGTAATAATGTAATTGTGAATAAGATAACAGTTTGTAATAAAGAATGAGTTATGGATTATGGTTCTCTTTTTCGTTTTGTGTCTGACTTACGAATATATATATATATATATATATATACCCGTTGTTTTTCCTTTTTACTCTATTTTCAATATAAATAAGAGGAAAATTAAAATAAGGTAACGCCTCATTATTGCGAGTCAGTTTCAGCTGTATTTAATTGGTTCTTCGATATACCTATTATTATTTTGTTCATATATTTGTTATAAATGTTACTTTGAAATGCTTATGAAACTAAAGGATTATGAATTAAATAATTGAAAAAGTTTGTACATTATAACTATTGGTATGCAGGCAAACATAAGTATTCTGGTACTTACTTGCACCTGTTACTCCTCGTGAAGGAGCATAGGCTGTCCACCAGCATTCTCCATCCAACTCTTTCCTGGACAATCCTTTTGAGTTGTTTCCAGTTACTATTGATCCTTTTCATATCTGCTTCCAATTCTCAACGCAGTGTGCTCTTTGACCTTTCTCTTTTCTGTTTCCCTTCAGAATTCCAAGTTAGTGTTAGTCTTGCGATGCAGCTTGGTGATTTCCGTAATGCATGTCCTATCCACTTCCAACGTCTTTTCCTAAAATTCTCTTCACCTGAAAGCTGGTTTGTTCTCTTCCATAGAAGGCTGTTGCTGATGGTGTCCGGTCAACAACGGACATTGAGTATCTTGTGTAGGCAATTGTTTATAAATACTTGTACCTTTGTTGTGATGGTTATGGTAGTTCTACAAGTTTCAGCTCTGTACAGTAGAACTATCTTTACGTTCCAGTTGAAGATTCCGACAGTTGTTTCGAGTTCCATATATCCTTCAACTGTAGGAATGCTGTCCTTGCTTTGCCAATCCTCACCATTATGTCTGCATCCGATCCTTCTCATTCATCGGTGACGCTACCCAGATACGTGAAACTTTCCACCTCTTCGAGAGTCTCCCCAGCAAGTCAGAGTGGGTCGGTATTTTCCATGTTGTATTTGAGGGTCTCGGTTTTCCCTTGTGTATGTTGAAGCCTACTGATGCAGAGACTTCTATTACACCGGTCGTCTTCATCTGCATCTGTTGATGTGTGTCGGACCGAAGTGCCAGGTCGTCTGCGAAATCCAAATCTTCTATTTGGTTCCGAGCCGTCCATTGCATTGCATGTTTCCTCTAAGATGTCGAGGTCTTCAGAATACAGTCGAACACCAGAAGAAAGAGAAAAGGGCGAGAGTAAGCAGACTTGTCTGACGCTGAAGTACTTTGTTGAAGAAGGTATATTTACAAAATCATTGAGATATTCTCAATCAAACTTTGAATTTCGATCCCGAATAACAGTCTAATGGTATTACTATGATTACTTGGGACAGATTGTTGAACCACATAGTTTACAACATACATTTATCTTATTTAGATAACCAATGAATATCAGCAAGTAGTTGATAGCTATTTCCTCCTAGTATGCGACTCCTCGGAAATGAGCATTCGTCGTCCAAATTCACGATCTTCACGTCTTTTTAGACCTGATCTAACAGTCAAAGACTTCATGAATTGATAATGAATTTGTTTGATCACTCCTAGCTTTCTTCAAATATACGTTACTTCTGATAAATATCATCTCATTGGGCTAATGAAATTGGCTCATATTGAAAAAGCCATGGATAAATCAGTTTGAGATAAATAGTCACTTGACATTTCACCTATTACATATCCCAGATAACACAGCCGAATTTATTAGTCCTCCCTCCTTGTTCAAAGTCTGAACCCCAATAAGTGTTATGTATAGTTTCTTGAAGTTGTAGAAAATGATACTTTATAGATTGTAGTTAACGGATTACCGAAAAGCCATCCGAATTACAATCATATTATCAGTATCGATATGTGAAACTATAGGGAAAATGTTCTTAATAGGACTCTAATTTGATTTGTTGATAAATTTAAAAACCTTATGGTTATAAAACTGGATGAGCAGTATCCTACAGATTTCAAACACCTGTAGCGATAGGTGGTGTGCTTATTGCCCCTCCCATACTTCCATCGTTGTTAAACGTGTTAGTGGATGTCTGGTGATATATTTTAGTGTCAAAGTATAATTTTATTGAAATAGACATGTAGCTGAATTCCTTCCTTGTAGACTCCTGTATTTACTGCGAGTGTGTTTGTGAATTACAATAAATCAATATGAGGGATTTGTGAAGATTGTAGTATTTTCACAGTAGAAACTACGAGTCGTTCTAAGTTAGACATTAACACTTTTAGATCCCGACCCAGTGGTCTAAAGGTTAAACGTTCACGTGAAAGACCGAAGGTCTTGGATTCGAGTCACGTGTGCGGATTTATGGATGCGCGCTGTTGAGAAGTACCATGATAGGATGAAACGGCCATCCAGTGCTTACAGGTTCCTAATGGTGATCTACCTTAGAGAGACTCATGATTTCAATTGCGAAAATTACATCGAAGTTAGTACATGTCACTTAAACTATTTCCTAGTGGGTTATATATTTTCTTATGACCAATTTCGAAATAGCAGAGAATAACGCAGAAAACGATCATGATGGATTATTCATTTGAATCATTTTAGGAGAATTGAATTTTTATCATTAACCGACATCACCTGGAGAACCATTGACAAATTAACCATAATGCCAAGTACTTTTATCCTCGGTTAGAGCACTGTGTGATTTCGGAAAACTCTGTGTTCTATCATGTAATGGGTTGTGAATATGTACCTATGAAGAGTTCTAAATGAAAACGAAAACGTTATCCAGTAATTTTCATAATTCTTTATCTGATTTCTACTCTAGAATAAAATTAACTGCAAGTTTCACATAAAGTAAAAAAATAAGGGAGTTTTGTTGATACTGGGAATCATGAAGGAATTACTTGGCCTTATCAGTATGGGGTTGTAGTGATTGTTGAATTTCATAGAAACCGAAAACTAACCAAAATTACATAACCATTAGAAACATAGGAGCACTGAATCGATGGTTAGTTCAATATGGAAGTACTCATTCACGGTCTCCCAAGAGAGAAGCGGACTCAAGACCTTCGTTCTCGCATCAAACATTAATCTATGGATGGGATCGTGAGTGCACACTGTCGGAAGTGAGTTTATTTTGTTAAATATATAGAAAAACATCTCAAAAATCACAACCAGATGAATGTGGTTGACGAGATTAAGTGTAGTCCACTAGTTCACAGAATTTATGTAGTTGTCAAAAGTCAATAAAGATGAAGTGACATACAGATGTGAGATTTGAAATATTATCTAATTGACGGTTATACGAAAGATAAACTTTACAGTTGACTGATCACTGACCAATGTCATGCATGTCAATTTCTTAATGCTGATCGAAGTTTATCAATCAAGTTTCTATATGACTATTACTAATCTATGTGACTCGGGATTCTATGAACTGTGCTCAGATGTAAGGTAGTGGTTGGAGGTAGAAGTTAGGAATCTCTCGACTTATTTTTTTCTGTTATTTAGTACTCGTCAGCAAGGTGCACTTACAATTCTTAGGGAACTATTTCTCCATGGAGGACTTAATCCCGTTTCACCAAGCTTAACAGTTGGAAACGTTATCTCTATAATATCCCGTTTCTCGTCTAATTTCATACGTATTACCATTTGAATATGACGTTACATTAAGTAATGTGTTAGGGATGCAGAGGAGTATACCAATAATTATCATATTAAGTCTAATGGTGTCCTTGGACTTTAAATGGACATTTCCTATTGGTCAATATTTATTTCACTTGTCAAATATTGTACAAATGTTGTTTCCTATTTTATGGTACGATGTGGTCTGGTTGATTGGTATATAAACAGAGTATGCCTGAAATATAATGATTCATATCTCAGAGGTTAAGACTTGTGTTCTGGACTCAACTGGCTGGGATAGACAGCGAAGCAGGGCCAATCGGGACTCTAGGTTGTTCGTACGTGTTTTCCGTGTCACTGAAGCGATCGATAAAACGCTTCAATCTAATATGCAGTCTCACTTCACAACATAATGATTGCCTTTCAGTACTTGTCTTAATGATTTAATAATTCTCTATTTTATTATAGACCGCTACTGCAAAAATGTTAACTATCAATATGACTGTACAGTTGGTATTGTCGAAATGAAAACTTTCATTGCTGGAAAGTTCTAATTTTGTTCATTTGAATATAGTTTATAAATGTTTAATAAATGTTGATGAATATCATGTCACCTAGTGAATGGCCTTAGTTTCATGAAGCCTGTTTGATCACAGTATATACACCATAGTAACAGAGTAAACAAAAATGTGTTGAGCGTCCAATGAGAAAATATGATGTACTCAGAGTACAATACACAGACGTGTAGTAATTAACATAACAAGTATGTATCATAGAAGTTTCAGTTATCTACTTATTCAAACAACAAACAATTTGTTCAAAGTGAATATGTTTATTGTTTGTGAGTACTATAACCATAACAAATTATTTAGAAGTCATTGATATGCAATGAGTTTCGTATCAGATATTCCGTATCCTATGCTAAAAGACTCTTTTGTCTTGAACACTGTTAGATAACTATACTTTCGTCAGTTATTAAAGTTTGCCAATTGATTAGATACCTTGTTTTGAGAACTTACTGTCTTTTCTGTCAATTTGAATATGTAAGTAATTTATCAGATTTTACTCATTTTTATATAATATATCAATTTTAGTAGTTAAGATCATGAGTCAATTGAAGCTAGACCACCATGAAAAACTTGGAAGCACTGGACAACTGTTTCGTTCTACTGTAGGACTCCTCAGGAGTGTGCATCCACTATCCGTCCCTTACTAAAACGAAACGGCCATCCAGTGCTTCCAGGTTTTCCATGATGGTCTAGCTTCAATTGACTCACGATCTCAACTACTAAAGTTACTATAATATCGACAAAATCCATTTCTGATAATAATATATCAATCAAGAAATCTGTAGCAATCGTTTTCATAAAGAATTGTTACCAGCCGCGGAACCAATAAGATCTTAATAGTACAAAACAGTAGTTTGTTGCATATTTTGGACTATTTATAGAAATGTATATCGCCTACCACATATGAGATAAATCCGAAAATTTTAACGTGTCATATTGTATATGAAATCATTCGGTTGGAATAAATTGATCTGTATCTGTAAGTGTGCTTGATTACCGATTGTGTTCATTTTTGACAGAGTACTACTCCTTACGCAGCTGATCTCATTGGTTTCCATTTTTTGATTGAAAGAAGGTCTGACATCTGGTATGCAAATTCATACAGTTATTGAAAGTGACTGAACATTTTAGTGGTCCTAAATCTGAATCCCATTTGATCATATGCTGCATGTTATCGAAATATACATATCACCAGACCTCGTATATAATTATCGACTTAAATAACGGAATTATATTAGTCAAATACGAGAATCAATTTTGAATAGGTGTATTTCATACAATCGTTGATTCAGACAAACAATGGGTGATGCAAATAAAAACGTACGAATTGAAACGACGCTCAATAAAGTAGGCATATAAGCCAATTCGATTTGATCATGCATTAACCAATATTTATAGTCAGACAAAAATAAGCTACAGAAATGTAATGAGTAAGATATGAAATATACCTACATACACTTACATAAAACCAGTCAAAGTTGATAACCGTATCATTAACAAGATCAAAATATAACTTGATAAGAAGTTGAACAAGTTGATTTATCCAGAAGCTAGAATAGACTATGTCAGTTCGACATAGCACCAGTCACTAGACAACTTAATTGTATTTATATCTAACGAAATTAATAAACACATTTAAACTTCAATACCAAGTAACTATCTTCTTATTAATATATTCTAATTTCATGTAGACAATAATTACATACAACTGAAGTAACAATCATCTATATATATGAGTATTCAGTTGCCAATAATATAAAAGAAGCTTACAATATTTGAAAAATAATAACAAAAGTACAACAAACACACAAAAAGATAATTAAAAGGCATGTAGATATAAAAAAAAACAACAAACAAAACAACCCAACATTATGGACAACAATAAAGTGGATAGATAGATAGAATACATAGTAATGAAGACATCAACATTGAAGGTATCATTGATTAATAAGAATAGAGGCAGTAAAACTTCACTGTACTATAATCATCGTATAAAAAAGGCAAACATTATTTTCTTTTAAAAATTTCAATACAAAAAAGCGATGAAGAAGAAGAAGAAGAAGAAGAAGGAACAACATACAGATTTCTGTTTTCTGAGTGCATATTTTAAAATAAACAACGAAAAAAAAGAGATAAAAAAGAGAAAAATAACAATCGCATACTTAATGAATGTTAACAATAGACAAAACAAAACACTTACAATGTCTTATTTAACAATTAAGGAATGCATTTATTCCAATAAACAATTAAAACAAACAAACAAACAAATATGAACATCATAGGATAATTAGATTAAAGAATCCTATATAAGCAGTAGATTGAAAAAAGATTCAGCTCAGTTCTATTTTCATAAGTATAATATATTAACATAAAAATGATATCATTATGAATGGAATACACAATACTTCATTGATGTATGTCTTATTCATAAAGGATTATAACTTATTGCCTGTTTAAATATTAAAAATACAAGAATGAAAAATATTGATGAAAGAAGAGTACAAAAAGAAAATGACAAAAAAAACAAAACAAGGTGGTTGTAATTGGTATAAACGGAGAAAAGGAAAAGACTAAAATTACAGCTGGATTGAGTTAAGAAATATTTTCATCAATAATATTTTATAGTCTCTATATGCTTAATAAAACACAAAACATAATAAGCGGATGTATGTCATAAAACAATCGTAATGTTTTATAAAATAATAAATACAAAGATAACAGAACTGTTATCACTATATAGATTGTAAGATTAATTGTAGAGATAAGATAAAACTATATAAAGAAAAATTAGTTTCAGAAGAAATATAGAGTTAGAGATTATTAAAGATCTTTATCCATTTATTAATAAAAATAGTGCTCCAATGAGAAGGAAAATTTAAGTGCACTGTTTTTGCTTACTTATTTATAATAATAGTAGTATAAAAACGTAACCTAAAATGTTCAGTTTATTCAAAATGAAACAGAATATATTGATGATTAAGGCTGAAAGGTTAATGTACACAGTCGAAACACAGAAGTATATTATGTTTTTTAAAAATAGATCAGTTTGTATACAACTTATTCGTTTAAAGTAAAACTAATTGTAGACTTCAAAATATAAATATCAGATTCTTTGAAAAGCTAATTTACAATAAACAATCTCTGCATATATATATCATCCGAGGGTGTGATAATACAGATATTGAGCAAAAGCGATTATTTGGATGAGAGACATGACCGAGGGAGTCAGTCAAAGAACCTCTGAGGAGGTAATCATCTAATTTACAATATAACGTTAAAAAATATCAACATTAACACCAAAATGAAAATTAGTACATTTCTTGATAATTTACCTGAAATGATTTGTAAACTTGTTTATTGTTATTGAGAAAAAAAGTCTTTTCGCCACAGTAAACATGAACAATGAAATATCTGGCTACTCAACGGTTAAATTAGCACAATAAAATAGTCATCAACTGTAATGAAAGTAATGATAAAGAAAAACTTTATGCTTGGAAGTTGTCCAGGATCAGTAGACTCATTCGAAGTAATCATATTTTATTTGTTATGTTCCTTTTTGTCTTGATTATGATTATTATCACTTTGATGTTCATTATTATTTGATTTCTGATTATCAGTATTGGTTTTCTTTTCTTCGTTATTTTGTAAGTCTGTATAGTAGGCCAATTGTTCTAAGGCCGGTTGAACAATAATTGGCTAGTAAGATAGAAAACAAGAACAAAGTTTTATTGAATATAGAAGACATTCCGTTGCTAAATTTAACATAATTAATGTGAAGGTTGCATATATTGAAATCACTCCATGATAGGATTTTTGGTGTATCTACTTTTAAAAAGTTTAAAACCAGACGTTGTCAGCTATACTCTATGGATATCACTAATTGGTTATGAGAAATTAGCTCTTGACAAAAATTACCTTCAGATCTAACAAACTCTATAAAACATCTTAAATAAAAATTGTAGCTTTTTCAACGATTAATGTAAAATGAACTAGCTACATTGGTAAATTTTACAAATTAGTCACTTGTGAAATAGTCAATTTAACAATTGGCAGCCTGCTTGAATATCTGGGCTACCTGTTCCTCCGATCTAGATATTTCATCAAGTTATCTGTTTTTTTGTTTGTTTTAGTGCATCGTTATGTCTATTGTGCGCACAATTTATTCAGGTGCGTTTATGAAAAGTTTACAACCTTTCGCTATACGTGACACAAAAAGGTACAATCAGCGACATCATGGTGGCTGGCAATATGCATTGAAACTAATGAACATTAATCAAATGTGGATTACCGAACTCTTAACATCTAACCGGTCATCATTCAAAATTTATCGTCACAATAGATCAAGGTATAGGAAAAGAAAACTTGTTGAAATACTTTATGCTGAGAATTCTATGTTGTACCAGAAATATAATGTTGAATAAAGCTTCTAATAATAAATAAATAGAATACAGTCTAATTTTTATTCACCAAGCAATTTGAGAGACAAAACGGTGAGACTATAATTTATGGACGAACCAATCAGATATAAGACAACAAGTCACGAATTTGGGTGCGGGATTCATCCATACATTTGGTTAAATAGAGTTTTGGCATTATAGCTTATGTCAGTTCGTGATGAAAACCCTAAATCTAATTTTTAACCCAAACCATCAACTGTAAATGAGAATTCTAACTGATTTATAACCCTCATTTAGTCCTAATTAGTAGTTGTTCACTCTCAAGGTCACTTCAACGTCTCTCAAAAGTCGTCCATAAATTATAGTCTCACCGACAAAACTATAGCCTTCTTGAGTCGCACAAAATAAATGTAATTATGTTATGATTATAGTATAGAAGTGAATTTAAAACAAACTCAAACAGTTCCCAGATAATTTTTAACCAATGAAAAAGTACCTTCTGTGAAATAACTAGTTTATGGAGAAAAACATTTAATGATATACTAAATATAAGAAGATTTTATATAATTGGTAAGTTTTTTTCAAATCATCTACAGCTAACTGTCGAGGTGAGAGACAGAAATTGCATATATATTCGTTCTTAAGGATTATCTGTTTTCCTGAACACTAAAAGAAGCCCAAATTGGTTTTGATGAATCTGCACAGTGTTCCTGATTAAGGTTAGATATTTAAGATTATGAGTAAGAGTTTAGTCTTAAGTTTTCATCACGAACTGATATCAACTATAATGAAAATGCTCTGTAGCAATATAGATAAGTGAATCTCGTTCAAAAATGAAAGATGAGCTTCTGACCAGTAAGTCCACCAAGCTTGGAGTAATAACTTGAGGGTAGTATCTAGTTGTCAGTTATAAACAATCAAAAGTTGCAGGACTGAATATATACTACCTGCATTACTGCGTTTTGAGCAACATACAAATGTATATCAACTATCCGAAATAAGTGACATACAAATATAGTGCAAAAGCCTAAAAGTTACATTCGGCGAGACGATAATTTATGGGCGAACCAATCAGTTATAAGATAAGAAGTCTTGGATTTTGGTGCGAAATTTACTCATCCATTTGGCTAAATAGAGTTTTGGTATTATAGCTGATATCAGTTCGTGATGAAAACCCTAAATCTAATTTATAACCTTAATCATCAACTGTAAATCATAATTCTAATTCCTCACACTGGTTTATAACACTCATTTGGTCTTAATTATTAGGTGGACACTCTCAAAGTCACTTTACCATCGCTCAAAGGTAGTCCATAAATGCTATTCCAAATAGTGTCAATTATGATACAAAACTGCCAGGTATTTATAGTTTTTAGTAAAAACAAAATCATCATTATAGTTATCCAATCCGCACACAGGGGGTTATTATCATTCGTTCAATAGGAAAGCTACACGTAGGGATTCAGGAATATTCTTCCAAACGATGATTGAATGGAATATCTTCATCTTTTTTTGAGCTGATTAGAGCTTCCTCAAGTTCACCCGTGAACTATCCTCACAAGTCTCCCTTTACATTCTACATTTTGAATTGCTCTTGTTTATACTACATATACTATTCAACTGCTTTTAGAAGTAGTACTTACAAAATAAACCCAACTATCATTAATAGACTATCCAATAAATGGAATTTTATTGAAGAAAAAAGAGAATTCATTTAGGCTAGTAAAGTACACATCATTAAACTTTCATTATAACACTTTTGATCAATGTGTTTTCACATTAATAATCAATACAAGTACTTCAAAAGTACAAAAGAAAACAAAGAAATACTTGGTTTCTTAACTAGATTTAATAACAGATGAAAACCATTTCACATATTGAAAAAAAGAAAAAAAAAACAAGAATTGCTAATCTTATACTTTTTCATATACCAGTTATCAAGTAGGAATTCAGTAATATTGAATAATTTATGAAAACATTTATGTTTTTGTTTCTTAAACAATGAAAATCTAACTGAATATGTATGAATGGTAATATTTGCAAACTATAATGAATCACATTGTGAGATACGATTAAAAAATAAAACAGTCAGTCAGTCAGTAACAACGTAGAACTTCGTACGTACGTACGTACATCAGTTCGAGTTGTTATACCACATTAGCACACAGATGCAGTTGTCAATTCAAATCCCATAGTGGTAGAGGTAGTAAAACTATAAGAAGTAATCGGAAACATTAGGGTTTGAAGATGTTATTCAATGAGTATAATCCAGTGAAATAAATTTGGAAAGAGAAAAAAAGAAAGTAACACGAAGAATTCAGAAGATTGGAATTTGGGAGAACACAACGAGTGGATGCACCTACGTCATTACAAACGATTTTCAGCCATGTCGATCAACGTCTCTAAGCATCGGTTGCTATCATCTCGCAGATCCTAACCACGTAGTCTACACCTACCAACATGACTCAGTCCACTTGTCAGTGACTTCATGGATTTTTGCCATGTTTGAATCTGGCCATCCCTAGCTTTCTTACAACCTACTCCTACACCATGAATCATTGCACGCCATGGCAGTCAGTGGTTGGACATAAGTAACACGTATTCCAGACATCTCAACTGATCCCGTTTCGCTACTCCATCAATTGATTTGACATCCTTATCTAGTACCCGTTTCCTGACAGCTGCGTTACGTACTCGGTGGTCTTAAGATATATGAACAATGCCTCGAAGGCACCTATGATCAAATGCTAGTAACCTACGAATATCTTCCACTCTTACCGGCCATGTTTCACTGCCATAAAATAGGACAGAACGAACTGTCTCTCATTAAACACGTCCTTTGGTTGATGGACGGATATCTCGCCTACGTCATAAATGACGAAAGTTGGCAAAAGCTAGTCGAACCTTCTATATCCGTGCTGAGATTTTGTCACACACCAGACCACAAGATATGACGAGACTTCCGATATAAGTGAAGTGGTCGACACGTTCAACTACTTCACTCCCTATCATTAATTCGGGTATCGATGCAACCCATTACAGAGGTACCATTTTGCATTTCGATGAGGAGAATCGCATCCGGGACATGCTTGCATTGTTGCTTATTGTGGTCAGAAGACCTTGCATTTTGTCAGCGTCTTCACCAAATAGAATTATTTCATCGTCATATTCTAAGCCAACAAGTGAATCTCCCGGTAGAAGTTCAACATCCGGAAAAATAAAACAGTAAGATCGATAACAACTTTGATATAAGTTGTTATCTAGGGACAAACAATCAATTGGTTCACAATACTGCTGAATATTTATTAGACCGGATCCAGGTTGCTTTGTTGAACTTTTCGAAACGTTAAGGATACATAATTAGAAAGTCATGTTGACAAAGCTGACAGATCTATAACAATCACACAAATACATCTATAATTTATCCCTGATGAGTTATATTAAGTTCTTCTTATTTTTAACTGAACTATTTAAGTTGTTTTCAAAAATATTCATTCTAAGATCATAATTTCTTTGTTTGTCTGAATCTTTATGCTTCTATAAAGTATGTAAATTTATCAATAATGGCCTAAAATATCACTTAGCATTATTATTTTGTATTCACAGGTTCTCAAATAAGACTCTAACCAATATTAGAAAATCACAGACCAGTGTCTCACAATGATTCATTATAGCTGCTGATCTAAGCCATATAAATATGTTTAATGCTAATAGAAATTTGACAGGATTGTCTTTCTTAAATGATCATTACAAAAGTTCTGGTGATTATTAAATGTTAAAAATTTCAAGAACTGACCTTAATTAGACATCAGTCAAAACCAGGATGCACTGAAAAGTTTTTTTGTAGTAGTAAGACATTTCAGACTGGTGATCATACACGGTCAGACCGAAGATCGAAACCAAGAACTTTGGTATCGCGAATGAACATTTGAACCATACAATTTTGAGTAACTCACTGTCTCCGGTCGGTAATTGCTTCACGTCTTTATTGATTATGACCATGTGATCACTAGTACGAAATTCTAGGTATTACTCTAGAATTCAAGTGAGAGGCCATGATCAAAGGGATCCATTCATGTAGCTTGTGAGATAATTAACCACTCAAGGTAATCTTAGGTGGTACCACAAACTCGCTAAATGATCGAAATTAGACCTCTACATCGGCTCAATTGTTTAAAGATTAGGCGTTCACCGCGAGATCAAAAGGTCTAGGTTCGATCCCTAGTGATGACGTCACGGATGTGCATCACTAAGAAGCTCCAAAGTAAGATAGATCAGCTATTCAGTGCTTCATGTTTTTCAATGAATCGCAAGCTTAAGTCAATTCGTAATATCACTCAATTCTAAAAATTATTCTTAACACTTTTTATATCATTATTCTTTATATTAGTAACAATATTTTATCCCTTATTGAATTTCAAATTGAATTCTGAATCATTTTGAAAAAACAAAACTTATTTTATGAAATAATCGAATATTGACGTAAAGAACATCAGTTTATCAGTTGACAATCATAATAGATAATAAATGATTGACAATTTATCTATTTTATTCTATACAAAAAACTTACTTTAACTTCTGGTAATAATTTAGCTAACGATTCGAATAGAGGCAAAATAACAAAACGAATAAAACCGCATTGACTAGCTGATTTAGTCACTTTATGTCGATCCATAAATGGAGCAACTGGAAGACCAACAAGTTTTTCATAATCACTCTATAAAGTAGAATTTTAAGAAAAAGAAAATATAAAGAAAAGTTCATATTTTTAAATGGATTTAACGGAACTTTACTCATTTTATTCCTAACATCGATTACTTATTATGTAATCAATTGTTTCTAACCGTTTGAACTGTTGTCACAGCCAATGTTATAGACTTTTCTTTTACATATTCAGTCTAGTAAATTTATTTCCCGACAGTAGCTGCTACCTTGACGCGGTGGTTGGGCTTGCCTATCGTGATGGCCCAACCGAGTTATATTGGCCGGAACATATGTTCTTGTAGGTTCTGTCATGCCAGACAGGTCGACTGGAGAACGGTAAGACTAAAAGCAGCAACTCAAGGTCTGAGGGTGAAGTCGTACTGCTGACTGTAGAGGGGTGTGATAGCAGTAAGGTGTTTCCCTCGGACAACAAGAATCTGCAGCGATGCTGTCTTCTCACAAGGAGGAGTGGGGTTAGAAATGGTCGACCCTAAAAATGTCACACCTCACCTTACCTCTCGAATTTCCTTTTCCGGCAGTAAGGCCCTTTGAAGAACGGAGCTAACACGTCGAAAACCTCCCACAAAAATGCCGTGCGCGACCGGCCTCAAGCAGTTGTCCCTTGGGCTCTGCGGTCACGCTCCCAGGTCGTTAAGGTCAACATTAATCTAACTTCCTTTTCAGATTCCTCAAGAAATACCCTTCGACGGTGTGGGCAGCCTGGAAGTGATACCGGCCCTCATACCCGTAACAGCACACGAGACCATGTTGGTCACATTCAAATCCTTCCTACACCTCCTAATACCTCTCGTATCAACCTGACTAACCTTTCTCACGTCATTTTATCACCTCGCTCCGCTAGGGCAAACAATTCGACTAGTAAATTTATTTACATTCTTGCTATACCAATATGTCTTTAACATAACTTCCAACTAAACTGTTTCATGTAAGTAATTTAAACTCATTAAATAATTATGATTTTTAAGTATTACAGGTTGTAAGCAGCTGATGAGACCTAAACGAAATAAAATGAATTCATGCTATTCTGCTAGAATCTTTGTTCTTGATCTTTTCAACATAATAAAAGGAACTATGTGTATGAAATGAATTCAGTGTCAAGCCGTACAGTTATATATATGGCGCACGAGCGATAACAATAGACACAAATCAAAACGTATATATACAGCACAAAACTGTTCTTGGGAAACTTCACAAAATAAGACACAACGGGTCAATAGCGTTTAGGATTCTCCCAGGTAGGAAATACGACATGAAGGTGAAAAGAGCGTTTTTGGCGCGAAAACAAAGAAATTCAAAGTTTCTAAATAAAATTTCAAAATTAGGTCCTTTTCCAAGTGAGTTCTGGGGATCTAACGTCCCTAACAGTTTTAAAAACACGGTTCAATCATTTAGACTAGTGATTACATTGTAGTTAAATTATCATAGAAGATGAAAATAATATGTAACAAACATCAAAGTTATAATGAGATAATCAATAATAATGAACAATTCCATAAGTAAAACTGTTATATTTATCTATAAAACATTTGAGTGTTACATAATCAGTATTGTTCAATTTATTATTGATCATATGAGTATATAATGGACATATTTAAATCTTATACCCTAACGACAAAACGAATTATATTGATTTTGTAACGTTTTACTAAATAATCAATGATAAAAAATATTGTAGTAATCTAATATGATTTAACTCTGCCTGGAGCCCCGCAGGGGCTAATGCCGGTCCCGAGCCCGGATAAAGGAGGAGGGTTGGGTATGAGGTTAGCGACCCCATCCCGTAGAAAACTAATTTGCTAAAAAAATGCTAAACACTAATACAATTTGATTATTTCTTTCCTTTTTTTAAAGAATGTCATCAACACTCATAAATGATTACCTGGGAAAATTAATTATCATTCATTGAAATAGACAAATCATTTAAATAATAAATTATAAGTGGAATAAAAAAAGAACATGGTAACAAAGTTATAATGTGGATGTAAGTGTTTAAAAATTGAATGAATTAGTGGCATATGAAAAATCAATTTGGTTAACTTCCAACCATTGACTGATTGACTGACTGACCAATTCGAATGCTGCTTCATCTAATTCGATGTATACAGTTGGATCGTATCAAATATTCATACATCAAAAGTATGATACGAAGCTGACTACATAAATCTGTACTTGATTACTTGTATTCTCCAAATAATTACATTTAAAGATTACTTATGAAGAATATAATAATATTGGTAATGTCACGTTATTTTCTGTTATTCTAAATAAGTGACACGTAGATAAAATCCGAGTACAATATTATTGTCTGTAACATAATCGATAACCCATAGTTATGTAGTCATAAAGACATGGAGATAGTTAAATTTCATATCAATTTTAAGTCGGTCATACAATCATTGAAAACCTGGAATAAAGGTCTAACTTTAATCGGACGTGATCGTTCTCCATTGTCTTCGGTGGGTACTTCCTCACATGGGACAATGTTTATCTTAATTATGTACTAATTAAATATCTCATGACTCATTAAGAAACGTCACAAATTTTGGAAAGTAGTTTACTGTTAAACCATGATAAGATGGTTGAAATAGGAACTTGTTAGAGAACCTCAGTAATTCTTTGAAAGCTTCATCAAAAAATCAGGAATAATGGTAGAAATACTCCGACAGATAAATCGGGAAAATAACTGATTATGTCTGGATTATTCAAATTCAATAATTATCAGATTTCTTATTAATTTTAGCATGTCTCTAAGAAGCCAAATTTATTCTCTGTCTCATATAAAGTAATCCTCGAAACAAAGTTTCTTCCTTATTTCTAACCTTCTGCTTTCTATCTGAGATTGTAAAGCAGAACTCATCTGAGAAATAGTAAACAACCAGAAAGTTATTGTCTAATAGTCGATCAAAAGACTTATTCGAAATATGAACCAATAACTTATAAAAAACCAATTTAAAGGTACCATAATCACAGAGAAACCTGAATATCCACGATTATGACTTAAATATATAAGATTGTGGCAACACACTTCTGAAGTGTACCAAATAAGACTGAAATAACGATTAACTTTTTTCATATTATTAAGCTAGAACAATCTGTTTAAATGATATTCAATGTTATAAGCAAAATTTTCAATCAATGTCTACAATCTCAGTTTTTTCTGTAAGTGAATATGAATGGGTTATTTGTCTAAACTTTATGATCATGAAAAAAGATTTCCTTGGTAAAATTCATTACTCAAAACGTTTTTCTTTTCTTTCTTTAATGGTTGTGATCATGATTCAAGTGAAGCTAGACCATTATGGAAAACCTGGAATCACTAGACGGCCGTTATGTGAAAGAAACAACATAAAAATACAAAAAAAATTCATACGATATTTATAATTTAGTAGCAATTAAATTTACTTGATGAAAAAATTCCGCTAATAACCGATTTATCCATGGACCAGCAACATTTAAAGGACGTGCTTCATTAGATATATCAGATATTTTTAAAATAATTACCATAACAAGATCTTTCTGTATTTTATTCATAACCCATGTAGGTTTTTTTGTATTTGGATCAATTTCCCATGCAGCGTTTAAATCAGTTAAAACTTGACGATTAAATTCATCTAATATTTCATTATGACGTGACATATCTGTAGCCAATATACATCTGTGAAATACCAAAAACAAATTATACTTTATTCAGTTAAGGAAAAAAAGCAAATGTGATTCGATGAACTGTTGAGTTATTTCTATTAGTTCTACTGTAAGCTTCAATTCTTCACTAAAAAAGTCAATTTAGGTGACGACATTTTTATAAAAATCACTTCAATCAATGGTAATTCTGAACGTTTACGATGGAAGTCAGGAACTTTTAGAGTCAAATAAATTAAGAGTACAGTGATCAGTCAAAAGAAATGTAGAGTCTGAAAGTTATACATAAGTCAATCACATAAGTATAGTGAAATAAAGTTATTTGGATTAAAATTATAATAAAGATATCAATGACAGCAAGAAAAGTTTAGGCCTAAAACATTTGGTTACAGAAGAAAGACCAACACTGAAATCACCAACTGATCAAAGTTACACAATCATTAGTAACTTGAAAGCACTAGACGGTCATGTCGTCCTAGTATGGGCTTTCTCAGCAGTGCTCGTCTGCAACCCTTAAAAAAGGGAATCGAACACTGGACACTTGGTTTCGCACGCAAACGACTAACTTACAGATAATTGAGCCAGCATTCAATAGTGAATAAGTCTAGAAGTTAAGCGTTTGAAGGTGTGACGAAAGTCCTGGGTTTGTGAGTGCGCATTGTTGAGGAATCCCAATTTTATGGCTAAATGGCTGCTCAGTGCTTTCAGGTTTTCAATGATTGCGCGGCTTTGATCGGTTCATAACTTCAATCTGCACAACCCAATGTTGATAAGAAAGAATCAACTTGCAATATAAAAGGCTTTAGGTAATTCCGAAAATAAAGATCTAAGGGGATGCAAAGAGTGAATTGATGTTTGGCATTGAGACTTATTTTGAACCACATCAAAAAGGGCCCCTAATCAATAGTCACAGCCAGGTTGTCCGAACCTCCAAACGTCACTCAGACTGACAATTAGTGACTTCATGGACTGGTGTGACATCTCAGTTTGGCTGAACCTATATTTTCGATCCTAATTATGCAATCAATTTACGTTCGATCCACCTCCTGACATGTGCAAATTTCAATGATCAGAATTTTGGAAGAATATTTAGGTTTGATATTTTAAAGATGATTTTACACGTAACTGATAAAAAACTCATTTGAAAGCTGTAACTAGTGCTTATTCTTTGGAGGGAGAAAATAAAAAGAATCAAGACTGTCAAACTAAATCATTGTAATAAATAATATTACCTAATCACTCCTTTGCGAATTCGTTGTCTAATAGTAGTTGAAAGATGGGAGAAGGGATCGACTTCTTTATGACTCAGTAAATCAAATGCAACAGCCGTATGATGATTTTCTAATGGACTTTGATCATTGTATCTCATCGCCAACACGGTTCCAGCATTGATCTGATGAAGGAAAAAAACAAACAAATTATGGATTATTGCAAGCCAAAACGAAATACACAGATGTTTTGTTCTATATGGAACTTCTCCAGGAAAGCACATTCATGGCCTTGTCAAAAACCGAACCTTGAACCTTCGAATTACACAACTACTATCAGTCCATGACAAAGGTCATTTCAAACTAAGCTAGCATCCAAAAGTAGGAATCAGTGATAGTTAGTTTGACGGAGATGGTTTTCACTAAGAACTAGTTGGAATCGGAAACCACGACTACCGGAATTTTGATTAACAGATGAGTAGCATTGCTTCTAGTGCTAGACCTAAAAGCGTGGTCTCATGTGGGGTTGTAAATGCGTCTATAAAGGAGTATTTAACCAGGACGAAATTGCCGCTAACTTATAACTTTTTAACACTTCTCCATCAGAGCTATCAAACTAGACTAATTTCTACAAGCCATTTGGAGGTTAAACAAATTTGTACTTAAAATCATAAACAGTTCGATATTGTTTCAGATAGCTTGAATGTACTATAAATCAAACATTAATCACTCAATAAACTACAATCTTATGAGCATACTGTCGAACGACAGCTGTAATTGATATTCTTATTAAAAATTAGAGTACTGTATCGAAAAGGTGAAGATTAAAAATTATTCAGCTACCTGAACTGGCCTCTACAAAATATTCTCATGCTCTTACTGTTAAGCAAAACGGGTTTGTTCAGTTCAAATATTTCTTATATCTACACATATGAACAATTTCATTGACTTATATGCATAACACTTCCTCTCTGATAAAATATTTCTACTGTTGTCAATATAAGTGGTAAGTCTGCTACCGGGATGCTTATTACTGACTTCATTGCTCCTTCCTATGATCCCAGCTGCTTCTGCACCGAACAAAAAAAAGGATCAAAATCAGAGTAAGAACATTACTGCAAGGTCAGATTATGGGAACAAAATCGAAGGTATTTATCTATAGAGTTAAACGTAACCTTGAAACTATAAATTTCCGAAAACACACTACACATAGTAACGGTATACGTGGATATCCAGTCAAAAATATGACACATGATTTATTATTTACCAGATGTTTTTGAGAAGCTTCAATTTAGCGCTGATAAGATGAAACACTCCTTGGTGTTTTCTAAGCCTCTATAGATTTTGACAAAGGATATTTGTGGATTTCCCAACAATAAGGCTTTTGTGGCGATCATAGAATATTACTGAGATAACAGACTAATCAACGTTATACATCTAGTGGAAAAATGGAAGTATTGGACAGGTGTTTCATTCTGATATGAAACTGTTGAACGGTGAGCATCCATAACCATATTAAGGATAGAACCAAAGACCTTCAGGTCTCTCAGTGAGAGTCTAACCTTTAAGTTAAAAGTCCCATAACAAAACAAATCGTTTGTTCTATGCTCCTTAGTTTAAAATGGTTACCTAATACAGGTCGGTTTGTAGTCTGTTATTGCTAATGCTCTTAAATCTCATATTTCTACCAAAAATATGCTTAAAATTCGCTTATAGGTAACCCTCGCATACCTTTGAAAGGAATGATTTTTAGAAATAGAGAAAACAACTAAGTTTGCTATCATTTAGAATAGACTAATTTCATTTCGGCGCCAAACTAGTTAACTATAGGTAATAACGTTTAGTTAAAACTTGCTTTCTTTTCTTTTCTGCAGAATATAATAACTTTATGATAAAAATAGTTTGACAGCTAGATTCTCATAAAATCATATTAACAGAAATTGTTGCAGTAAAAGAAAACGCTCACTATGAAATTTAGAGATGAATAAATCAATTTCCAAGTAGCCAGTTGTAATCTGCAACCAAAGGTGATCATCATCTGACCAACTTGAATACGGATGTTCCCCTATTCTTACATTATTCGACCCTAAAGTTAATAACTTCCCAGAATAACACTTTGCATCAACCTGGTTGAGATCCGGCTTTTAGGTATATAAATCTACACTAGTGATTTGTTTTCGCATTGGATGAATAATTTCCAACACAAACTTCTTCCTTGCCCTCTAACTAGGAATAGGACTTCAGGGATAACTAGAGGATCTATTGATAGAGATCCAAGAGAATTATTGATTATTTGAATACCTTCATTCATATACAAGTTTAGATTCAGTGATTATTTGCCAAATCAGACAAAATTTACTAACCAACATTATACTGAATGAATGGAAAATAAAAGTCAAGCTGAACCAAAATGTAAGGATATCGCATTTATTTCAATCCATTTAATTACTTATAAATAATACTTAAAGGTTTATCATATATCAAACAACTAACCCCTGAAGCAATTGTCAGTAGTCAGTAAATCAATCATAGCCTGGCATAAATGTGCATTAGACTAAGTTGTCATATTATATTACCATGAAAAAATGAGATTAAGAACATGAATAGTAAAGAAGTCAAGGTAATGAAGTAGCAACCAAAATGAGGAAGACTAAACAATTACGATATTTTTTGCATTCTTTGTTTGAATCTTCTCATTGATGTTTAGGACTGTAATTGATCAATGGGAATATTAAAAAGACCAATAAAAATGAATTGAGAACTTCACTTCATACCATGACTCCGTAGCTAAGCGGATAATGCGATTCTATTTAAGCGAACGGTACTAGTGTACTGAACGAGGATGTGCGTAGGAACAATCAAATACATTTGAACGCGAATTTACAGAATCTGTTAGTACTTCATTGACAAAAGGTCCATCAATTGTCTCAGACTTTGTTGTTCCTTCATTTCCAAGCTAATCACTCTTTGTTTCCGTTCACTTCTGTTCGATCCCGACAACCTTCTACTGTCAGGCATTCCACTTTCGATTGATGTTGTATACTGCTTATATCCATCGACATAATTAGCACACACTACAGTGGGTTCGAGTCCCATAATAAACATCAAATCTGGGATGCAGGTACATCCAGTTGACGAGTTCCAAATAAGACGAAACGCGCATCGTGGGTTCCAGTGCTATCCACCACCCATCTTTGCTTATAATGAGAATACGGTTAAAAAAGGTAAACGGAAAAGGTACATATGAAGGGACAGTGGGGCCTAGGATCTACAAGAAGATAAAGAGTGGATTTATCTAGTGTATTCATGACGATTCTAAGACATACCATTCAAAGTACTCAACCATCAATCGAAAAGATTCCAAATAAGTGTTTTAGATATACCCAAATGGCTAAGATCAACACCCAATCACTTTATGAACTGATTTGCGAAATAGTTTAACCTCTACTAGCTTTCCTTACAATTACTTGTATGGCGTGTGATGTAAGCAGTACTTAGGCGTCGGTATTACATGTCGTAAAAAGCTGAGTCAGTGAAGATTCACACCCACTGTCGATTAGTCAATTAATTAAAACAAATGCCAAAATGTTTATTTGTAATAATTATACCATTTAGGAACAAATTGATGATGAGTTTGATTGACATAATAACGTGTGATAAAAGACCATACAATTCATAGTACATGAATCCAATGAAAATTTGTGAATTTTTAACAAAGAAGAGAGCAAGAAAACATGAAATGGATTGAATTCATGTTTTCTTTCTCAGTTCATTGTTTTTGCTCTTTCTAACATAACAAAGGAAACCAATTATATGAAATTTTACCATTCAGTCATCAAGACATTATTACATTTGATGCCAGTTTTCGCAAGCTTTTCAAAATAATTGAAGATCTTAGTGCTCTATATCCATCAGTTTTATGAATTAGACAGTTAGCATCACTTTCTAGAGCAGTATCTCTGTCGTGATCCAAGTTTTAAACATAAAATGAACGAATTTTTGGCCCTGTACCAATGTGTTCTCTTCATATAAGTATAATAACCAAGTTAATAAAAACTGAGATGAACAAACTAATTGATGTAATTTTCAAGTGTGAAAAAATATAATACGATGGTTTGTATTAATGTTTAGATATGTAATAATTAAATTATGCAACATCAATTAAATCTCCGAAAATGCCGTCAGAATAGTTTTATATTTCTTATTCTAAGAAATAAATTTTATAAGTATAGGAATGTGGAGATTGTTGAGTTTCATAGAGACAATGAACCAATCAGTGTTAGACCACCATTGAAAACCTGAAGATATTGGAAGACTATTTCACCCTAGTATAGGACTATCATATGTGAAATAGTGATTAGTTGTGAGCGGTAATTCTCGGAGTTCTAGTGAGAAGCGATGAACACTGGAGTTCAACCGTGCGTGTAACAGTTACGTACCGCAGACTATGAAAGATGACCACGCAATATCATGAATAAGTTGAAGTCAGACTAGAAGTTAAGGGTTTGAGTCCCACGTGCGATATCGTGGATGCCCACAGCAGAGGATCCCGGTACTATAATGAGACGGCCAACCAGTACTTTCAGGTTTTCAATGGTGATCTAGCGCTGATCAGGTCATGGTCTTAATGAAATAAATTTTACTTATTGACATCATGAACCAATCTGTTGAAACATCTGTTGAAAACCTGAAGGAGCAGAAAGACTGTTTTTTAATGTAGAACTTCTTGGCATTTCACTCCCATTACCCACCACAGAGGTTCAAAGCCAGGACTTTCGGTCTCGAGACAAACCCTCAACCCATAGATCATTGAGACGGCATACAGTAATATGCAGGGCTAACTCTAATCAGTACAAGATGCTGCTCAACTATCGTCTGATGTTCTTCTTATGTACTTTCTTCACTGAATTTAGATATTGTTATGTCTCGAACCCTCAGACCAATATCACGTTCCCTGTAATCTATTAGAATTCTGATTATAATTAAACTCCATGGCTTGGTGTATCTGACTTGGCCAACTGCATGCTCGGCCGGTACTACTGACCTTCAGCCAACAGCTAGGTTCTGACTGGTCCACTATCCGCTAGCTCCTCTCTATGCCTGGCGTTGGGTACAATAGTCAGCAACTACCCTTTAACATACTTATATTTCAAACACGTGGTTTATATTAAGATATGCAAGACACCAATACACCATTAAGTAAAAAATAACACTTATACATAAACAATCCCAAAGTGGCTATGAATAAAGGAAACTATAAATAATAGACTGACAACAAAATAAAAGTAGCAAATAATGTTACCGTAGTTAGTGAGTTAACCGTAATCTTACAACGAATGGAGTAAATACACAAAGTAATCTCGTTTTCATTGTGGCCCTTTATCTAACTCCAATTAAATCGTATTATGATTGTTATCAAAATGTACATCCGAGCTACCCTCGTATATGATGATCAACGTCGCTCGTGTTAGTGAATAACGGAATTAAATAAGTCAAATACGAGAATGAATTTCGTATACATACATTTCATACAGTCGTTGATCCAGACAGATGATCAGAGGAACGAAGCGGAGGAAGCGAAGAGGAGAGAGCGAGGCGAAACAAAGTTATTCAGAGTGGAGAAGGTAAGTGGGCCAACATGATTTAATCAAACGTGACTGGATATTTATAGTTAGACAAAAATAGGTTACAGATATGTGGTGAATAGGGTAAAGGATTAACACACACACTTATATAAAAACAGTGAAGTTTAATAAGCAGATAATTAGCAAGGTCAAAATGTGACTCATGAAGAATGAATAAATTGATCTGTCTGGAAGCTAGAATAACCCATACAGTTTTTGACATGGTACTAGACATTACAAGTTACTCAGAAATTATACAACACAAAAAACCGTTAATAATAGTTCGAAAAACCAGTTCCAAGTTTCTATAATATACGTTTCGTTATAAAGGACATGTACAGAATTACACTACGGTTCAACAGTACAGAAGTAAAAAAAATTGTGTATGAGATCGAAGGTTTTGGCATTATTCCTCTCTAATGGTGTCGTGAATGAGCAATTCTAGGAAGGCCTATGCTAAAACAAAAAAACTGTCCAGTTCTTCCAGATTTTCAATGGTTTTCTAACTTATATCAGCTTTTTGATTTTAATAAAACTCAGAATATTTCCGGATGTGAAAACATGTGTGTATGTGTGTTTATGTATGGGAAAAAAACAGCTGAATCTAAATGAGAATCAGATGGGCAATTATTAGATGCGTCAGTGATTTTTTTCGAGAAAAAAAAAAGAAAAAAACCGTAGAATGTTCCCACATTTTCACATTTTTGAGAATTTCACATTCAAACTGTTGTCATTAATCAAAATGACATACTAAAATTATTATTATTATTATGATTGTTACTAATTGCTTTATTCAATATTATAGTTTTGGTACAATATAGAATTCTCAGCACAAAATATTTCAACAAGTTTCTTTTTATTATTTCTTTATCGATCCTGACGACAACATACTGAATGATCGCCAGTCAGATATGTTGTGACTTTAAGTTGGGTCGATTTCTACCCTGTGCCAATTGTTGCGTCCTTGACTGAAAGATTAGAGAGCAGTGTACTATGAATCGATTCGGTGACACGTAAAACACGTACGAACGACCTAATGTTCTGATTGGTCCCGCCTCCCTGTCTAACCCAGTCAGTTGAGTCCAGAACACAAGTCACAGCCTCTGAGATATGAATCATCGTATTCCAGACATGCTCTATTTATATACTAACCAAACAGACCACATCGTACCATAAAAATAGAAAACAACATCTGTACAATATTTAACGAATGAAATAAATAATGGCCAATAGGAAATGCCCATTTAACGTCCAAGGACATCATTAGACTTAACATGGTAATGATTGGCACATTATTCTACATTATTCTACAAGAATAGATGTCTAATTAATGTATATTCTTTTCAATGCATATTGCCAGCTATCATGATGCCTCTCATAGTACTTTTTTGTCATTTGTAAAGTGAAAGATCGTGAACTTTTTTATAAACGCATCTGAATGGGTTGTACAATTAATAGACAAACAAAAACAGATAACTTGTTGAAATATTTTGATTGCAGGTACAATTAGCCCAGATATTCATTGAACTAAGAATAGTTATATCAAATTACAACTCAATTTGTTGATTTTCAGTGATTTCTAAGTGAGATTCGATGAATATCATGGTACTTAGTAATGTATAAAATAACTATTATCTGACAATTGTATTTTTAGATAAAATAGGGTAAAAAAATAGCTTAAAACAAGACAGAGAGGAGGGAAGAAGAAGAGAAACACAAATTATCAAAAGTTTTCTTTATTATACATTATGTTTTTTATACCTATTTTAGTTTTGAACAGTATACTTTTTCTGTCTTTCTCTTAATCAGTTTTCAGTAACTGCTGCTCTCTCACATATATATATATATATATATATATATATATATATATACTTCTGTCTTATTCTAGGACCTACCTGATAAGCATTATTGAATCCTGGATGATCTAAATCATGACAGATGGCCGATATAATCAAAATAAGCTGATCATCTATGTCAAGTAGATTGGTCAAATTTCCACCCCAGATTAAAACATAGCACTAAAACAAAGAAATTAAACAGCATTTAGATAGTCATTTACGTTATAAATATGTATATATATAAAGAATTCCTTCAAGTTGCTATAATGTTCAAGTCATAAGCTATTTTTAGAACAAAAAAAATATATCGCTTTAGCGAAACCAGACTGAGATTATACGCAGCGTTTCGAGTGATACGAAAGAGAATTTGAGATTCCTTTAAGCATATATGAATATAATATTCAGGATCAACGCTTTGCAAGGGTTTAAGTAAGTCATATTAGTCAGTCAACTATTAACAGTGTAAGTTGTGGTATAATCATGAATTGACCCACAAAAAGAGGGGGAAATTATTCAGATGAAAAGCATAGGAGGTGAAACAATAAAATATCATTAGTAATGGTGAACTAAATATTAAGAATAAACTACTACATAAAACAAATAAAATGAGTGGATGAAAATTAAATGAAGTCTAATTTAAGAAACATCTTATATAAATATAGAGATAGAGTAGATGGTTGATCAAAGTATGAAAGGTTAGCTCAAAACTGTTCTGAATCAATGCATGATCTGACTGCAGACATTAAAATAGTTGTACTTGTCGAAAAATCTACTTATGGTTGTTTTATTGAAAGAGTTGATAGTTAACGAAATGTTAGCATGGATAGAAGGACGCTGTTTAATTTTTAATAACTTGGTTAATTGATGAGCAAGATATTCATTTGTCTATGGAATCACAAGTAGACTATGAAGTAATCCATTCAGTATTAATTAATAATTGTGAGGGATTAACTTTAAAGGTAAAAGACATGTTCAAGTCTCATGTATTTGATAATACGCGATCGTGAATAATCAATTAAGTACTGTTGGATTATCATGTGTGCAGTACCGAATTTGGAAGCGATGCATTAAGTATATTTTGATTAAGATTTGAATATTTATTGACTAAGGTGCCAAAAATATAAAGTATGTATATCTAGTCACAGAATATTCGGACATCGTATGGTTGCTAGCATGGAGTAAGACTGAAAGAAAACTAGTCCCAACCATATCGAAACAAGAGAATAGTCATTTTGAAAAATGAATTTGATTCAAAGACAATAACAGCGAGATTGAGTGTTAAACTTATTGACTAATTTCACAAAGAATGAAAGCAAATTTGGAAAAAACAAAAACAAAGTAAAAGTACACTCCAAAACCATATCAGTCTCTCATGTGAAGAGAAGAAGAACGATCACCTTCCCTTCCTAGATATATTTCTGAGTAGACGAGAAGATGGCTCAGTCAAACCATCCATCTTTAGAAAACCAAGGTGGACAGGTCAGTACCTTAGTTATTATAGTTATTGCCCTGTGCAATTCAAACGTGGTTTGATAAGGTGCCTATTCAACAGGCTTGATCGTATTTGTACAAATGATGCCGTTGATGATGATGCTAAAACATTAATGGAAAATGGCTATCCTCTGCAATCCATAAATAGATGGAAAGTACGTAGTACAATGAGACCTAATGTATGCTTGGTAGAAAAAAAGCCTGTCTACATCACCTTACCATTCAGAGTTGATTCAAATAGGCAAAATGAAGGCTTAAATCAGTCATCAACAAAACGTATTGTTCAACAAAGGTCATTATCAAAGAAAGAACAAGGTGCATGCCTCATCCAAAACCTAAAAGACATGAAAACGATTGTGTCACATCCCACTGAGTTTACCAATTTACATGTGTGTGGTCACACATACATAGGGACGAGCAATCGTGATCTCAAAATTAGGGTGTGTGAACACGTACCAAAATGGTTGCAGAAACAGATAAAATTAAGTGACCGAATAAGAGTGGAGGATAAACATCCATCATCCTCTTTTGATAAACATATAATCAAAACAAGGCATATGATTGATCTTAACTCGGCTTTTGTGATGTATAAAAGTGTAAAAGGGCGTATACAAAGGTTTATTTAAGCCTTAGCCATACGAAAATTCAAACCCCCTTTGTGTATTCAAAAACAGTTTGTTCTCACCTTAAACCTACCATTATTATCATCCTTTTCTCCTCTTACCCCATTTCCAGTCTAGTTGACCTTTCATTTTTATATATAACAAGTACATTATGCGTGTGGTCAGATTGTTCGAAATGTATTGAGCTAATATATCATCACAAAGCTCTGATAATCTTCGTCTTATTACATTAACGAAATTTATCAAAGGGACTAATTACTTTAGAAAAGAAGTAATTATGAATATAAAATTTGTATCAGAAGGGGTTTTGTGGAGATTGTAGTAATTTCAACAGTTGATATCATGAGTCAATTGAAGCTAGACCACCATGGAAAACCCGGAAGTACTGAACGGCCGTTTCGTCCCATTCTGGGACTCCTCAGCAGTGTGCCTGGCGCGAGACTGATAGGTCCTGAGTTGGAATCCCGCGAGGCAGGGTCGTGGATGCGCACTGGTGAGGAGTCCCACAATAGGACGAAACGGCCGTCCATTGCTTCCAGGTTTTCTATGGTGGTCTAGCTTCAACTGACTCATGATCTCAACTGTTGAAATATATAATTTATTGATTAGAGAATGATAAAAATTTTAATTTAACTTACCATTTGTGTTACCATAAATGCATGTTTATAATTATGAAATGGAACACGATTATAACGTCTATAAATATCAGTAAGCCATAAATCTAATCGATGTAATTGTATATTGTAATGTTTAATAAATCCAAGTTCTTGAAACATTTCCCGAACTAAACGTATTAATTGAGCATCTGTTCTAGACCAATTATTAAAAGTAGATGAGCGTAATTCAATTAAATCTTCTTTAGAAACAGGTTCTTTACTATATATAATATAAAAATGTATTAACAAGGAAATAATTCATAAATATTTGTGTAAAAAGATAAAAGAATAGGCTGATAAAAGAATAGGTTTTGGTCATAGAAATGTGCGCACATATATCCTAATAAGTGTTATCTAATTTCAAATTAGTTTGTACATTGGATTAATAAAGATTGAAGAACTATTAGACAGATGTTTAGACCAAGCTTAAGGTTATTCATTATATCGGATTCATGAGATATAGGTTTAAAGACGAGAACGACTCATATGGTTATCATTTTGCATTTTCACTTAATTCATGGTAAGATAGGATCATTATCTAGGTACATCGGTACATGGTTTTCTTACTTACAAATTAGGAGAATTCATATTAATGCATTTATTTGTAGTCTGATCAGTAGTGGGTATACTATTATTATTAATCGTCATTTTTTCAAGAGAATATTATGGAGATCAGTTTTAAGGGAAGACACGTTATCACTCAATCATTGATAAATATAGAGGGCTGGATAACTGTCACGTTTTGGTTCAGCAGACGGAATTTCGAAAATTGCTAATCCCTTAATCCGAAGTAACTCTGCCTGTAGCTCTTCTAGGGCTAGTGTCGGTCACAAACCCGGGTAAAGGATGACGGCTGGGTATAAGGTAGGCAACCCCATCCCGTAGAAAAAAATATTGCTAAAAAAACACTAACGAGATTAAACAAAACAAACCCAAACCGAATAATTTTCTCAAAGTAAACTTTACATAGATTTATTCATTATTTGATACACTTTTAATAGACATGGTCAAGAGACTGAATTATAAGTACGATAGAAATGGATATTGTGAAAGAAAGCTTGTAACATGACATGGTTTGAATAAGTAACGATTTAATTACCAACAAACTCCTAATCATGTTTCATTTTTACTTCACGACTAATGTTCAGTATACTAATGGTCTTCAAAGTATTTACCTGAACAATGAGCAATAACTTGATTGTACAATAACTCGGACTTCAGTCAGTCAGTCAGCTACAACGTAGGACCAGGCACATTTATGCATCGGCCCAACAACAAGATGGACACCAAATTCATGAAAGTAGTTAATTCAGAGGTGGTAATATATAAAAGGAAGATTGCAATAAGGATATAGTACAGGAAGAAAGAATTAGTTCGTAGAAAGAAAGATATGAAGCTATTTTAATCTCTTAGTTTAAGGGAAGATAGAGAGTATATACACCGACGCCATTGTGATCGATTCTGAGCCATGTCACTCACAGTCTCCAACCATTGGTTACGATAGTCACGCGGACCCCAACCAAGCAGTTTGCATCTACTAACACGGCTCAGACTACAAGTTAGTGACTTCAAGCACTGATGCCACGTTTTGGTTTGACCACTCCTAACTTTCTTTCAACCATCTCCAGCACCGGTTAGCATTGCACGTCGTGGTAATCGGTGTTCAAGCATACGCAACAAGTGGCCCAACCACTTTAGTCGATGAAGATTCACAACCTCACCAACTGATTTACCATCATTCCCTAATACCGTGCATCTAACCTCACTATTACTTACCCGGTTTTACCAGCAGACGCCAGGAATATTTATGAGGCATCTGTGGTCAAATACTAGTAGCTTACGAGTGTCTACTACTCTTAATGGCCATGTTCCGCTGCCGTAAAGTAGAACAGAACGGACTGCCGCGCAGTATACTTGTCCTTTTATTGATAGACGGATATCTCGCCTTCGTCATAGGTGACGTAAGTTGGCAAAAGCCAAGCGAGCTTTCCGAATCCGTGCTGAGATTTCGTCAGACACCAACCCATTAGGGCTAATCAGACTTCCAAGATAAGTGAAGTTGTCAACGCGTTCGACTAAATTTTAGTAAATAATATTTTAATACAAACAATATCTTGAATCAGTTATATTTCATTACAATACAATCACAAGAAAAAGTGATCTTAATTTAAATAGAGTAAGAACGCCCTCTATTTCATGACTTCTCATCAGTTATAATTCAGACTAAAATTATAAGGAGTAATGGTAATCATAAACGAAGAATTAACATTAACAAAGATGGATGGTGTTTGTTTCAAAAACTTCGATTTAATTTAACTTTTCTTTCCTTAAAGTAATTTGTTCATATGACTAAATATAACGTACAATATAAGAAGTAAGTAAAGATATAAATAGTGGAAAAATCAACTAAGCATAAATGATAAAGTAGAGTTAGTTTGTTTGTCTGTTTTTCCTTTTTTATTCTACATGTGATGTTAATACATTTAAACAAAACAGAATATATGGATAATGATGATTTTTTATAGTTTCCCAATGAGCAAAAAAAAACAAAAAAAAAGGGATTTCTGGTGTTTCACGGCATAGCTTCCAATGTATTCTTTAGAGAATAGGATTGTTAAATATAGATTGTTACAGGCATATTAGAATACAAATAACCGACTGGTTACATCGATAATATTAACGATTGATAAAACGACATATTTATGAAATAGTGGAAATTAGTGTGTTGTAGCTAACTTAAACATTTAAGTTTTATATCTTTTGACTAGGAGAATAGAAATATGTCTTAACCCACTGTTAGTCCCTGGCTTCGTATCCCGCGAGCGAAATCGTGAATGCGCACTGCTGAGGAGTACCACAATAGGACGAAACAGACGTCCAGTGCATGCAGGTTTACAGTAGTGGTTTAACATCAGTCGGTTCATAATCTCAATCAATAATTTAATAATCTCCTTAACCCTATCCTTATAGCAATAGCATTTATAAGTCTTTATAAGCTGTCTACAGTTTAGATTGTGAAGTTAATTACTGAAAAGATGAAGCTTAACCATTACAATGTTTGGTTTACTTCATTCATCGCCTTCTTTGGAAAAAACGACTATTAATATGGGAGAGATGCAGCAGATATATGATATAATGTAAAACGATATTCTGAGCAAAATCTTAGTTGTAAATCTATACAGATGATGATGGATGACAGTAAATAAATGTTAGAAAGAAAGTATTCTCTCTAGATATAGATTCCCTTGAATGTCCACAACTTGAAATAAACAAGATACGGGACTGGTTCAAAATATTACAAATAATATACTAAGAACTGTTAACTGCTAAACATTAAATGGATGTGTTAACAAATTGTGTTATGTATTTACAGTTTCATGACATTCATTAGTTAGATTGTAATTACTGATGAAAAACAATTTGACTATTTGTCATTTTATAAAAATACAAATTACATGTTAATTATATATATTCAACAACTGATTATTGTGTTTTAATAGGAAATAATTATTAGGAATTTTAGATGTAAACGGATATGGAGCTATGCTCATATGCACATTAGCCTAAATTTTCATATTATATATCACCATACCCTCAAATGCCCTGGTACGGACAAGGGTTGGGAGAGTCCACTCTCCCTTGCGAAGTGCTCGCACACGGCCACGCGTAAACAGCCACTGCCAGGGAAGTCCTACTCACTGCCTTCTTGCGGCAGGGGTGTTGTTTACGAAATTGAGAGGACGAAAAGCGAATGTCCGGCGCTTTAACCGGGTCGGTGGACACGAAGGGTCCATTTAGGAGAGTTGGACAACTCTAATTCCAAACCAGCGGTGCACATGGATTCCAGTATCCTGAATGAACAAATGGTGTATGAAGCAATTGTTGGTCACCGGCTACCATGGAACTACATCTCCTGACGTTGTTCCACTGCCTTGTGGATCAGATCTTTAGGTCATAGGCTCGGGGAGTGGCCCCCTAAGAAAACCAAATGCTTCGCTTTGGACACACCTGCAGTATTACAGCCCACATACAAATCAACTGACTTGTTTGTCGCATATGTATTCGATGCCCCTTTGTACTAATATTTATGTGTTCAAATAAGTAAATAAATAAACCATGACAAAATGAAATTAATAAGATGGATTGTAAAAAAATCAAAGTAGTGTAGTTTCAATCAAGGGAGATTGAACAATATGAATGAGGTTGAAAAAGATAAAAGAAAAAACTACATATAAAAGGACAATAAGATTCAAGATAATTTATCATTAAATTTGAAGGTATCTACTCCATGAAGTAATCATATATTTTGATTAAACTAATTCTAAATTTAAATTGAGATAAGTAGAAATCTTTAGGTGTCTAGTCAATGATAGTAATAATTCAACTGGGTGAAATTATTTACATGATAATCTCGATTTATCATCTGACACTAGAGGACACGATACTCTAAGAATTGTTTTCTACTGAGTACCATATATTAGGTCAGGAACTATGTCAAAAAGCTACCTTTTCTGCTGTTAAATTGAATGAAAATACTGTTAACATGCAACTTTCTTTTTTAAATATGATATATATGATAAACGATAAATATTGATTTACCATAGAAGTTTAAATTCTTGTATATTTCTCCGACTATCTGCATCAGATCGACGAATCAAGTGCATTTGAGGATTTGGAGCTGGTGCATTAAAGCCAGGAACTAGAATTCTCTGGGTTGGGGGTTGTTCTGCGGTTAATCCAAGCCAACTTAGATAGGAGAACGACTGAGAAGACAAACGTTTATAAATAATAGCCACATTATTAGACTGAAAAACGAAATCATTCGAAGTAAATAAAACATTATCTAAAATGAAAAACGTAAGTATATTTTGTAGCCTAACCAATATCAAACGATAGCGTAATAGCTGGAACATTGGATCAGCATAATCACTCCTAAAAATGAGTTTCTGAGAATAATAAAACAAATGCTTTATTATACACGGAGTTGAATGGTGGTTAGCAAGGGAATCTAGGACGCATGTTTCGTTTCATTTAGGACTCGTCAGCTGGATAAACCTGAATCACAGGGTTAATGTTCACTCTTGGACTCACTTGTGACTTCAGCTAATATCAAAGCAATCCACATAGGATACACATATACCTCTGTGAGACTGATCAATTGCAGTCCTAAACATCAATGAAAAGACTCAAACAATCAATACAAAAATGAATCTAATACTTTACAATTTACCAAACGAACATATTAATAAACAATTTCAGAAACAATTTGTCAGAACCTTTATTAATTAACTGTGACGACGGACCACGGGTGAACTCGAAAGAGCTGTAGGAGTCTCGGAAAAAGCCGAAGAGATTCCATCCAATCATCTACTGGAAGAATATCCTAGGATTCCAATGTGTAGCTTCCGATTAGACAATGTTAATAACCCCCTGTGTGCGAATTAGTGGACTGTAATGATGATTTTGTTCTTACTAAAAACTATAAATACCTGACAAGTTTGTACTATAGTTGACACTGTCTGGGAATAATATTCGTTTCATTAATCTTCTGTTTTCTCATCGCGATTTGGAAGGGTTCTGGCGTTCTAGTGCTCACGTTGTACGCGGTATATCAAGAACAACCTTCTAGATATAATATTAACATATAACTGAATTAACTTGTCTGTGAATTCCATTTTCTTTCAGTTTCTATCACTAAAACTATCAACATATAACTGGACCTCCGTTTTTATTTATTGTGCAGGTAAGGAACCAAATCTATTGAAAATCAAACATGAAGCTCATTGTTTTACTGAAGTTTTCAAATATACCAATATTTCTTTTTATAACTGTAGAGCATGATTTGAAATTTCATTGATTGTATTATAGATTGACCTTAGTTAGATAACCACTGAATATCTGGAAGCATTAAAAATTTGTTTTGTTCACATATGGAACTCTCTATGGCAACCCATGATCCCTCATTTAAACCTTTTATAGTAATCATTAGAAACTATTTAAGGTATAAACCATTAGAAAATTACAATTTAGTTGTAAAATAAAGCATAGAAAACAACAATAAATATAACATCTACGTACTTCAACTTGACAACGTAAATTATGAAGTTGTCTATAGATTTTTGAAATTCGTTTTGTATCCATTTTGTCAACGGAGAAATTGTTCATTTTACGGCAACTATGAACATTATCATAATGAGTTTCTATCATTTCTTCATCATCATCATCTTCATCAACATCATCATCTAAATGATATGCATTTATATCATTATGTGAAGGTCGTAATATTTTTTCTTGATTTTGATAATTTGTATTAAATGCATCCCATAATTGTTTTTTATCAAGATTATGATTAGGTTTTGAATCAGTTTGACAGATTTCATCCTTTGTCATATTGATGTGATCAAAAATCTGTTGAACACTAAACAGAACATTAAAATGTACATAAATAGATTGTTTGAATTTGATATAACTACATTTGAGGGTATTTAATGGCACTCATATAAGGTAGTTGTTGATGAAACAACAAACCAACACTCTTTAGATATTAATGAGTCTCGTTTTAAAATGATGTTTAAACATTGATGAGAATTACATGAGATAATCAAGCAACTATTTAGATTGATAACAATCAAATTCTATATTTGTAGTAATTAAGAATATCTCTCTTCGATTACACAAAAGTAAAACATGATCTTGATACACAATTAAAATGTCAACTGATTTTATAGTATAGAGAAATATTCAGCTTATAGCTAATAGATTGTTGATTAGAGAATTAGTATCCACGTAATTCAACCAAGCACACTGCACTTGTACTTGGTAGATGCATTACACTGAGTAAAATGTGTTAAAGAAAGGAAGACATATATATACATATATACCCCATGGTAGTTCTATTCACGGTTATGATATTTTGTTCCGAGTGTTATGTATGTATTTAAATAACTTAGCAGTACAAAGATTTAAACATGTATTAACTTTCGAAAAGTTGTCAGGTATTTCCTTTGAATTACTTCATGTTCAAGTACCTATAAAACTGATGCCGACTCCCACTAATATCTCTGAGCAACGATCTTACTTGGGATTAATTAGCTACTACCCAACTTTTGTCCCGTCGATGCATGGCATACGCGCCCCACTAAATTATCTTATGAATAAGAATACTATTTGGGACTGGAAAAAAGAGTGTGAAGCTGCATTTTGCAAGCTGAAAACCATCATTACCTCTGAACTATTATTGACGCACTACGACCCATCCATTGCAATCATTGTGGCTGCAGATGCTTCAGCTTTTGGACTCGGTGTTGTCATCTCACACCAGTTTCCGGACGCAACAGAGAAAGCTATCATGCATGCATCTCGCACATCAAATCCAGCGGAAAGAAAGTACAATCAAACAGAAAAAGAGGCTCTCGCCCCTGTGTTCGCAGTACGCCATTTTCACAAATTCTTGTACGGTCGAAGATTTACTCTTCTTACTGATCACAAGACTCTTTTCTTAATTTTCGGATTGAAATCTGATGTTCCAGCCACTCTGCAAACCGTCTCCAGCGATGGGCTTTGATACTGTTGGGTTATCCTTTTGACATTCAGTGCCGGCACAGCCAACAACTTGATCAGGCAGACGCTCTGTCACGACTTATCAGCGAACACCATACGGCCGCGGAAGATGCAGTTATTGCCTCCCTAATGACAAAGGACCACGCGCAATGTTACCTGGACTCGATGGTGACTTGACGCAGCTTAACCACCGTCGGGGTTCGTTATGCGTCGTGAATGAATGCTTGATGTTTGGAGATAGAGTAGTGGTTCCAGAGTCCCTAAGATCAAGGGTGCTAAAGCAGTTCCACATTGGTCATCCTGGAATACAACGGATGAAATCCATCGTCAGAAGCTATGCTTATCGGCCCCTCATGGACCAACACACCATAAATTTAATCGGCAAATGCATACAATGTCAGCAAGCGGCGAGATGTAATGCGAAGATGACGACCTGAGTATCCCTGACCCAGGATACATGTAGATTTTGCTGGTCCAATCAATGGGACTACCTATCTAGTCGTGGTTGACGCCTTTTCAAAATGGCCAGAAATTGTCACCATTATGCCACCGACGACAACCAAAACGACACAACTCTTGTCGAAGATGTTCATTCGCAACGGGTTACGGGATGTAATTTTATCAGATAACAGTTCTCAGTTCACCTCAAAGCAGTTGCAAGACTTCCTCCAACTGTTATCCATAAAGCATCTCCGCTCTCCACCTTACCACTCGCAATCAAGCTGCCAAGCAGAAAGATTTATGGATACACTTAAGAGAGCCCTAATCAAGTTGAGAGGGGAGGGGACGCCAGTGGAAAGACTTCAAAACTTCTTGTTCGTTTACAGAACGACACCTAGTGATGTATTACCCGAGCAGAAGTCCCCAGCAAAATCCTCATGGGAAGAAAACTGAGGATGGTCCACAATCTGATGCTTCCGAAAACCGCACCATCGCCATCACTGACCAAGCTCCAGAGGCTGCCAACATACGAGTTGGATGTCCCGGTGTTCGCTCGGGACTACAGACCAAATCATGGTCCCTGGACTGAAGCACATGTGGTCGGAAAATTAGGCCATGTCATGTACAAGGTAGAGGAAGGAAGAGACAGGTTGGCTCGACATCAGAACCAGCTACGCAAGCGGTTACCCCAGTTCGCCCATCGACAGAAGGGAATCTCCCTCTTGACATCCTATTAGATACCTATTACCTACCCGCATTCCCGACACAGAAAGAAACACATCGACAGGTCAATCTACGACCCAGAAGGTAGTCACTCCGACAACGGAGACAAATGGTCGAAATACATGTGGACCCCGTTATTAAAAGAGGGAGGTATTGAGGATGTTAGATCCCCAGAACTCACTTAGTAAATGCCTAAATTTTATAATTTTATTTTGGAGATTTAAATTTCCTTGTTTTCGCACCAAAGCGCACTTTTCACTTTCATATCGTATTTCCCACTTGGAAGAATCTTAAAAGCTATTGGTCCGTTGTGTATTCTTAGTATGCTATTTTTGCTACGCTTCTCAAGGACAGTTTTATGCTATATATATACGTCTGATTTGTGTCTGTTATTATTCATTCGTGCTTCTGGCTTACGGAATATACTTTCCCATTTCAAGCTTGGACTTCATCCTCTAGTTCTGGGCTTTAAATTTGTGGTTGCAAGTGCTCACCAGTAGTAAATGTTTAGAAACATAAGAATGGTGTTAAAATTTAGTTTAAACGGTATGGTAATCACAAGGCAGAAACAGTGTATGATCACGGCTACCAACATACATTAGCTTAAGTTAACACATAACATATCAACACATAATAGTTGTAATAGCTAACAAGATATATCTATCCGTTTCATTGCTGTTTGATTGTGAATGCATAATCACATAGTAATACACACTATCACTTATGTAGCTTTACCAACGTTTCATCGTAACGAAGAAGCATTTCAACACATTTATTAGTGTACTGTAGAACCTTATCTAGTGAACAATTCTACATTATAAATTGATAAGTAAACATTATAATTGGTTGGAGTTAGACATTAATACCGTTGGGTGCCGGCTCAGTGGTCTAGAGGTTAGACGTTCACTCTCGAGACCGATAGGTGCTAGGTTCGAATCTCGTGAGTCGGGGTCGTGGACACGCACTGGTTAGGAGTCTCATACTAAAACGACACGGCTGTCCAGTTCTTCCAAGTTTTCCATGGTGGTCTAGCTTCAGTTGACTCATGAATTCAACTATAAAATTATAATTATTCATTGTAGTCTTTTTAAAACAATCAATATAAGTTTAGTACATTGTATATTACAGGTTGGTTATTTGAACAATGATAACTAACTAGATTGTCACTTTATTAATAAAACATAATATAACACATATTACCAACAGGTAGCCATCTTGTTGCTTAGTTACACATATATTTTTGTAATATTTCCTATTTAACGAATCAATATATTTCAACTTTCATATATGAATAGTAAATTTAACTCTATAATCAAAGAATATTAAACAATAATGAAACATTATATGTGAAAATTATATTTGAAATAATCTCAGCGATTGAAATTTAAATGATTTTCTTTGATGATTTTGATTTTGATTATTTTACCCTGAAGAAGTCCAGACAAGTAAGCTGGACGAAACGCTGGAATTATATAAATTTCAATCGTTGAGATTATTTCAAATATAATTTTCACATATTAATGACTTCTCTATACTCGGCGTCTAATTTCTATCAAACTATTCGTTCTAATCTTGACGAATATTCGTTTAAATAATGAAATAGTTCAAGACAAAATAGTTCAATAACAACTCTTATTAGAATGAAACACATTAAAATTGAGTATTCCTATTTCAATGAATGATATATAGGAGAAATTGTTCATTGAAACAGTGAAGGAAAAAAATGTTGAAAATGACAAGTTAAAGATTCGATTGAGGACAATTTAGAGATAAAATTAATAAGAGAAGAATGTTAAACTCTTAGATAAACCGTGAAAATAAGCGCCAAAGCATTTAATTATCGAATCAATATAACATTTCAGTGACCTTAGAATAAACCAAGATATGCAGATATTAAAAAAAAGAAAGAAAAATCAAACAGAAAACATAAAATATAATTAACGAGATCTGATTTATGTGAAGATAAGCAAGTTTTCTTTTAGTTGACTCTATATGCAAGGATAATGGATAATAAGGTCAAAGTATGAAGTTTGTATTTTTTTATCTGTTGTGTGGTCTCAACTAAATATAGCCTTATATTATTTTCTTGTTAAATTTTCTAGTTTAAAACCCTTAAAAGTATCGACTCACAATCCAGTATAAGATAAAACTCCTAGAAACATATGGTATCGTACTTAGTTAAAGTACCATTAACGAAACTTAACGATCAGATAGTGCTGCCAAACATAGCTGTCTCAGTTATGTGATTGTTGAACTTAACTTTTCACAACATGTTACTATAGGTATATGAAACTACTTGAAAGATACTCATCAGTGAGTATACAAGGTAAAACTACGATGTAATCATGTTTTTATGTGACTCTAAGAATGATTATGACATTAAATAACTAGAAAATATCCAATCAGTATCTAACTCTTCTGAAACAATCCTAAAATATATTAAAATGTTAATGCTGCAGACTTTTAACACGGTAAATAAACGTCTTTAAACTAGGTATAGATAAATAATGCTGGAGAACATAGTACTGTATTCCAGCTAGGCTCATTCTACTAACTCTAAAACTACTGAATCCGAGATCCTAACCATAATACTCCTAAACGCAAGTTCCTAACCTTAATAATTTATTGAACAACAAAATCATTATCTAATTCTTTCAAAATACGATATATAATCACGATAATGGTTTCTAGAGA